AAAGACTATTCATTCATCTTTTCATTCAAGAAACTGTTGCATGTTAACTGAGCACCAGGTACTCAGAGATGTAAGGCATTGCTGATGTTGAATGCTCTGCCAACCTTAGGAAGCAAAAGACACCTAACAGGGAAGCAGGGCTACTCTCAACAATACCTGCTCCCACTCCCAGCAGAAAAGCCTCCCCTTTTATGTAGCCCAGGGTTCATCCATGCTGCATAAGAGCTGCCCAGCCCCCCCACCTACAGCAAAACTTTATCAGCATCTTCCCAGCAGACCCCTATGTTCTGGTCCCCTGATGTTAAACCCTGGAAAGCATCAGAATTACCTGGTGATTTTTTAAATATATGTAACCACTCCCCACTGGAATCTCACATGGTGGATGCTAGAAATGTTTTAACAGGCTCCCTAGGTGATTCAAATACGGCCACCCAGGCAGTGGTCTGCAGGTTAACCTCAAAACCACTGCTCGGGCCTTCTCTTTCCCACTTTCATTGTAATGTGCCTGTCTTCACCCCTTTCCTGGCAGTTGCTGCTAACGTTTACAGGAGCCTTCTGGAGACAGTGCCTTAACCCAAAAACATGATTCCATTGGTAGCCTGTGAGAATGTGTTACATGCACGAGGGACAGCTGAAGAGCAGGGAGCCCTGGAGGGCAGTCCTGGGGCATCACATCCCTGGAGCTTCTCATGTTTGCTGCTGCCTAGGTTTTCGCCTAGTTCCAGGAGAATTAGTGGAGAACGTAATTTAAGTGATCTCTGAGAGAGCTTTTGACAAGAAGGCCCAGCAACATTAACACTCACCATATGCCATTCTCGAAATTAAGGCCATAATTTTTTTATTTAAAAAAAAAAATATCTTTATTGATTTCAGAGAGAGGAAAGGAGAGGGAGAGAGATAGAAACATCAATGATGAGAGAGTCATTGATCAAGCCCGCAACTGGGCATGTGCCCTGACCGGGAATCGAACCCTAATCGCCTGGATCCCAGGTTGATGCTCAACCGCTGAGCCACGCCCGGGCAAGGCCATAATTTTTAAAGTTGCAACCTCTAAGGAAGCCTAATACCTGTTCTAACCGAGAACAGCCCTGGTCTAGGCAGTCTGTTCTCCAAATAAAGAGCAGCCAAAGAGCTGATAAAATCAGACTCCAGTGTGTAACTCAGAGGGTACAGTTACTTGTCTTGACAAATTTTCTCAGCTAGATGATCACTGAAAGCATTCTGTTAAAATAGAAAATTTGTAAAGAATGCAAACTGGAGGAATATATAGCTCAGCCCTTCCATTTGAAATTGGCATTTTGGTTTAAGATGTCCTGGAGAAGCTGCCCAGAAACCATGAGCTCGCTCTATAAAACCAACACAGACCAAATTCTGTCATATCGCTATCATGACAGTGCCCAGTTTTGTCTTAGTACTCTCTATGTCACATGGCTAGGAAGTTTGAAATGTTTCGTTTGGAGGACATGTTTATTGTAACATGGTCAACTTGTGTACAGAGCTGCAGAAGTTGGAAATGTTTGCACAGCTAGAATACCATTCCTGGTAGGCAACATCTGCTTTCACGAGTCATGTGCATTACCTTGAGAGTAACTTCCAGAGAGTGCTGGTTAAAACCAGGGTAATACTTAAACAAAACACCTATTCTCTAGGTTATACATTGAAATTCTGTGTTCACTTTTTTTGCCAAATCAGCCTAGAAATTGAATAATATTTAAACTCCATAGAAAAGATAATATGTAATTAAAAGGCTTTTATCAGAAGAAGGCTCTGACATGTCTGTTTCAGTTGTTAAAAATTAAAGGTATAACCAACTTCGGTTTATCCTATTATAATAGCAATAACCCACAGTAAAGTTCCCAGTTAATTTTGAATTTTAGATTCAGGACCAATTTTATTCAGCTTCTGTCCTGACAGTAGCAAGCTGATAAATTTGAGTTTCCCTTCTGCTTGCCTTCATCACCCCACCTGCACACCTGAGTGCTATTTTAATGATATGCCAAGAGGGCCCAAGCTGGGGTTTCCAAAGAAGACATCAAACTCATCAGAATTCAAAGTAGAGGCTCTGCTCAGCCTGAGAGGAAAGTCTGTGTGGACAGCAAGGACGGATGCCCTCAAGGCTGTCCCACCTGCCTAGCAGTTGCATTTGTGTGTGATTTTCAGAACACACTTCCCTCTTCTCTGCATGGTAGCCTCGGGGCTATTTGGGGAACAGGATGGCTTTCACAGAGTGTTTTCTGGGCTCTCAGAGAACAATTCATTCCTTCTTGCGGTTTGCTCTTCCCTACTGAGCCAAAGTATTCTGAGAGCTTCATTCTCCAGTCAAACAACCGTGATTGCATTCCTGGGATAGGAAGGTAACCTGAAGAAAAGAAGGCCTGGTCATGGAGACCTCAGAAGCCCAAGATCTGTGCCAGTGCTGATCTGTCGCTGCATCATGTGTAAGAGATCCTCACGCTTCCACAGTTAGAAGAGGCCATCATTGCATATCTGACCAAACCAGAAAGTTCACTCGCTAACCAAAAACAAAACCTGTTTATGTCATTGTGATTCCAAGTAATGAGCTGTTTAGATGTGCCAGTGTTTCTAGGAAATGAACTGGAAAGGATGTCTGGCTTCTGAATTGACTTGCTTTGCAAGTTAATTGTTCATCATCGCAATTGATTTCTTCAGACTGCTAATACATCTTCACTTTGGCCTTCCCTGTTTTCTTTTGCTACTTTCCTCCTTGGAAGATTCCCCTCCACACAGTCTTTACTATGTTTGTTTTTGGGGGTTTTTAAAGTCAAAAGCCCTTCTTTAGAAAGTGAGACTAAAACTCGTCATGTTGTATATTTGGAAGCTTAGAGCAGCCTACATAAGCTGCTCTTGTACAGGAACAGATAATCCCATCCCCCTAGAAAGGCAGATGTGATTTAGATCATTTAGGACTGGCAGTTGGACCTCCTACCTGTCTTGAGCAGCAGATACAGGCATCGTGGGCTGGAGTCGGAGCCCAGGGAAACAGCAAGAATGCTCCAGACTCACCCCAGTGCTTCAGCACCGGTGCCTCTGGAGGAGAGTCACCTGTTCCCAGAGCTCTTGTAACACAAAGAAGAAAGACTGACAGGTAGTCCAGTGACTTGCCCAGCAAGAGCAGGAAATGGGACTTGGAGCTGGGCCTCCAGAAGGAGGACTTGGAAGCGTTGAGGGTTGCAAAAAGAAAACCTGTAACTTATTTTTAGAGAAAGGAGGAGGGATTGGTTAAGACATAGACAAGGCATGATTAAAGTTGATGCTAAAATCTTTCCTCTGTGGGAGGCTGAGAGTACAGCTACTCTCCTGGAGGGAGAAAGCCTGAGCAGTCACCTGCCATCTGAGAAGATGCTCTCCCTGCCCTTTCCCGCTGTGCCCAAGCTGGTAAACACCTCCGAACTCAGACTTAGAGAGCACGTGGCTGAACAACCTGAGTACTGCTCCACTGATACTGGCAGGGTGTCCATCGTTATTAACCAAGCTTGGAATGCCCCGAGCACCCACCTGAACCCTGGAGGCTCTGATTGCTAGCCTGGTCCTCCATGCAAATGGGTCACTGTGGCTTCTGTGGTCACAGTGACACGGCATTTCTTTTCCCCACAGGCGACATCCGCAATGACCTGTACCTAACGCTGGAGAAGGGGGATTTCGAGAGAGGGGGGAAGAGTGTACAAAAGAATATTGAAGTGACCATGTATGTGCTTTATGCGGACGGAGAGATCTTGAAGGTAAGGCTTGCCAGCCAGTTTGGAACGGAGGCTCATCCTGAAATAATCCTCCTGTTTTTGTGTACTTTGTCCAGAGACCCCTTTTCCTCAGGCAGGACTGAACTCAGATTACCCCTGTGCATTCTTCTCTGCCTCTTGCTTTTTTCAAGGAACCCTAGGCATGCCTTGCTGATTTCCAGTGTCACAGCCTTTGTAGAAATTTTTCCTGGTGTCTGACCGGACTCCCTGTAGACCTGTCCCCTCTAGTTCTGGCCCACCCATTACTTCTCCCATCCACCTAGCATCGAGCTGCCTACTTTTGGTAACTATTACTAGACCCCACTCATCGATCCTTGAGCTAACACAGGAAGTTATATTTGCTCTTTGGTCGAAGGTGAGACATAGGTACTCACTGGTTGGTACCAAGTTACATGACAAGGAACAGCAGGCTCAAGCCCTAAAAGATTGCCTCTAGCCAGTGCACTGCAGGGATCCTGTCACTCTTCACTGAAAGTGAAGACCCGGGTGCTGCTTTCTGTTGTCAGTATGTCAGTTTCTCCCTTTAGTCATATCATGGTGAATCCTCTGGCAAGTCACAGGACATCATTTGCAGAGCACTGGCCAAAGGCAAATCAGTCTATCATGGACCTCGCTTTGACAACAGCCTTGTGAGGTAGGCAGAACAAGAACAATCATCCACGTTTTACAGAAGGAAAAGGTAAGATTAGCCCAAATCGTCCCCCAGAGCCAGAAGGAAATAAAAGAGAATGTTGAAAAGGTGGTGAAAGCAGTGATTGGTCCCTTTAAAAACCCACCTCAAAGACAAAGGCATGTCCACCTTTGCATGGATGTCATACCGAGGTCAGCAGGGTTCTTCGGTGCTCACACCGCCCCGTGCAGGCAGGGAGCTGCTCCTGAGTGCATGTGGCCTGCAGCTTCCTGTCCGCTGGGGCACGGGCACGGGCAGTCCCAGGACTGCATCCTTAGGGCAGGATTTGGGAACTGGGGTCAAGTTAAATCTGGTCTGTCTTGTTTATATCCAAGGACAGTCAGCTGAGGGCAGCCTAAAATGCCAGGGTAACACTGGGCTAAGGACAGTTGGGAAACAAGCCCCCTCCACCTGTTTCTGATTTTTCTGATCTGCCATGTGCCATGTACAGCTGACTTCTCCCATGGAGTCCACTGTTTCCTTTCTCCGTGAGGATGCGAGGCCCAGCTCAGTGATTCAGATGCAAAACTCAGCTGCCTCCCGCTTACCACGCAGTGTGTGTGGTCACCTCTGCCCCAAGGAAAACGAGGAGCACTGCGACTGCTGAGTCATGCTGTCGGCAGGGTTGTTTCCAAAAGTATTGAATTTAAGCCAAGTGAAGTTTCTCATCTTACAGATTTCGCCTAGTGGGGAAATGAGGCCTGCACAAAGGAGAGTGTCACAGTGACAGGAATCCAGGGGCTCCCTGCAGAAAGGTGACGCCTTGCTTTGCTTCTCCCTCAGGACTGCATCAGCCTGGGCTCGGGAGAGCCCAACAGGAGCTCCTACCGCTCGTTCGTCCTCTACCACAGCAACAGCCCCCGCTGGGGGGAGGTCATCAAGCTGCCCATCCCCGTCGACCGCTTCCGCGGCTCCCACCTGCGCTTCGAGTTCAGGCATTGTTCCAGTGAGCGACACTTCTCTCCGCACACCTTTGAGGACAGGAATATAGCTCTTTCCTCTCTGGAACAGAATTCAGAGGGTTCTTGGTGGGGCAAGAAAATGAGAAGTTGGGAAGAAATAGCCATTGATGTCATCAGAGGCTCTCCTTTGGACAGTGATTTAAAACCATGGGGTCAGGTGTTGGTTGTTCCTAGTGCCTGACCTGGAGGACACTGGATAATTGCCAGTATCATTCCCCTTTGGGTGTTTCCTGTGTGCGTATTAAACCGCTTTTTAGAAAGCCTCTGGCTTATTAAGGCCAGCGATTTTGTTTCTGTTTGGGTCTGGATAGCCTGTGTACCTTTGGATGTGAGTGGAAACACAGCCCAGTACATTTCTTGTCACACCTGCAGTCAGGTTGATAATGAAAGTAAGGGACAAAAAAGTAAAGAGCATAGGTAGTAAGCGCAGGGAAATTTCTAAATTTAAAAAGCAAAGTGGTGGCAAAAACAACTAACACTTGGCTCTGATTACAGCCAAGGACAAAGGGGAAAAGAAACTCTTTGGCTTTGCGTTCTCACCCCTGATGCGGGATGACGGCACCACTCTCTCCGATGATATCCACGAGCTCTATGTGTACAAGGTATGGGCCCTGGCTGGTCTGCTTGGGGCAGGCCAGATCCAGGGTCATGTGCTGGTGGGTGACAGCAGGACAGCTGTGAACAGGCTTTTGTCTTCTACATACAGTGGCTTTCCTCCCACAAGCAATGCCCACAGCCCTTTTGTTTCCCACCTCCCCCTCCACTGGTGATGGAAGTCTGTTCCTACCCCTCTGTGCCACTGTGGCCTTGGCTAGTATATTTGGAGACCTGCTATTTGAGATCATGGTTCTGTCAGCTGTCCCAGCATAGCTACCACCCAAGGTTGCCTGCACACCAGGTGGAGGCCACCTGTTCTGCTGTGTTTTCTGTAAAAGGCATGTCAGCCACTCTGGGGAGTTTCTGGACAGAGCACAGACATCAACCAGAAATCCCCTAGGACCTGATTTTTACATGTGGCATGGTTCAGGAAACCCTCTGTATTCTCTGCTTTTGCCTATAGTGCGATGAGAATAGCACGTTTAACAACCATGCTCTGTACCTGGGCCTTCCCTGCTGCAAGGAGGACTACAATGGCTGCCCCAACATCCCCTCCAGCCTCATCTTCCAGCGTAGCACCAAAGAGTCTTTCTTCATCTCCACGCAGCTCTCTTCCACCAAACTTACCCAGAATGGTAGGTGATGACTGACACCTTCAGGGTGGCCCCTCCCTGCCCTCCATTGCTGATGCATGTGAAGGGAGACAGAAATTACTGCTGTCGTGCCACAATGAGGACACTTTTCATTCGAAGCTGAAGGAATCACTTGGTGGTGGCAGCCTATGAGGTTTCCTGTGGTTTTAGCAGCTCCAGAGTGCACATCCAGAGTTCACAGATGTGTCGCTGGCCTTGATCTCAGCTCTGAAGAGTCTGTGGCAATGCTCCCAGCTATTTCTGTTCCTCTAGATCCCACCTGTCCATGTCTGGGAGAGTGGATTTTGCTTGTCATTGGCATAGCCAGGGTTAACCATCTTTGGGGCTTGCTTTCTAGTGGACCTCCTTGCTCTGCTGAAATGGAAGGCCTTTCCAGACAGGATCATGGACATCCTGGGGCGGCTGCGGCATGTCAGTGGAGAGGAAATTGTGAAGGTATGGCTTCCCCAGTTCACGCATGCTGCTGGAGGAAGAGTCTGGGCCAAAGCCCTCACTGCCCTTAGTTTCTGCCAGGAAGCCTCCCAGACCGTTTCTCAAAATATATGGTTAGATGAATAGGAATAAAGTCGTCTTCTTTTTTTAAAGCTAGCTTCTTCTTTAAAAGTAATTACCACATCAGGTTTGTTACCTGTTAGAAACTATATTTAAACCCTACTTTTTGACTTGTTTTTTCCCTAGAGTGCAAAATGGTAATTAAAGGGTACTTAAAGGGTAGTGGTACAGCACCCTCAGAAACAGTGCCCGCGCTGTGTGCTGCCTGCATTCCTTCAGGCCTCCTTTCCCCTCTGAGGGTCTTCCTCATTCTCCTTACCTTGTAACCCTCAGTCTTCCCTGCTCTGCTCTCTTGGTTATCTAGAAGAACTCTAAATCCACTCCATCAACCTGCAGCTGCTAATTATTTCCAGTCCCTCCCTTACAGTCCGTGCTAGGGAAGCTTCCTTACTCTCTGCCTCCGCTGCTTTCTCCAAGTACCTTTGTGACAATTCCCATCTGATGGCCGAGCAGGCTGACCCCAACACTGCTAGTCCCCAGCTGTCTGTAGGCTTCTTCACACTGGGTAGTGTCAGGAAACTCCCAGACACTTCCCGCTGGTGAAAGCCCTGCAGGTAGGTTCTACACAATGGACTGAACTCCACTGAGGAAAATGGAGGTGCTTTTGGTGATCAGCAAGAGCAACAGAATGTAGGATAGAATCGAAATCTCAAGAAGGCTACCTGTCCATCGTGAGCATTCTTGGCTCTGTTGTTGCAAGTATCAAATTAGTTAGCAATGCACTGTCGGTACTTTCCTTTCATAGCTCCGTGGACTCCATAATACACAACATGGTGTCTCCAAATCAGGACAGGTTTAAAGTGTGTACCTCTGTGTACTTTTATGAAGTAGTGTATGAACTTTGTTATCGTTAACTGATCAGAGTATCATAAGTTTTAGAAAGCTCTCTTAACAAATAAGCTAATACTAGTTTTTGAAACTTAAATTCATACTCAGCATTTTTTCCTTCTGATTAAAAATATCATCTAGTGAACAGACAAGGTACTAGGAAAGTCTGTGATCTTTTTAAGCTGAGTTGTGTTTCCTCACAAGAGAACGTTATATCAACAGGTGGGGTTTTAGCATCAATAATTTGTCTCAAACCAGCCAAAAGATGTGAAGAGAATATACTAGCATTTTAAAATATGTTTTTACTTTTTATTGGAAGATTTCAAACCTACACAAAAGTAGACAGAATAATACAAAGAGCCCCCCACAAACCCAGCACCAACAGTCAGCAACCCATGGCCAACCCTGCCCATCCACACCTCCCATCTTACATTGTTTTGAAATAAATTATAAGCATTGCATTATTAAATTGCGTTTTGACCAACAGAATGTTAGATTTGATTTTTAAAGACTGCTAGCATCCAAAAGTATTTATTCTCTCCTTTGCTGTTTGCATCTTAGAAAGAAAATGTGCATACTCTAAAAAACTAAAAAACACACAGTGCTTCCCAATTGTTTACTCTCATTGACAGCTCTCATCAGCTCATTCTCCCTACTCCTGGAAGACTAATTTCTAGATCAAACATAGTTTCTGTAGGTAAGGCCCAGCTTGCCACTCCTGGAAGACTAATTTCTAGATCAAACAATTTCTGTAGGTAAGGCCCAGCTTGCCACTCCTCATCTAGATGTCCTCTGTAGAAATAGGCCACAGTAAGAGGGCAAGGGGCTACTGAACTTTCTGAGGTCCCAGGAAAGTGAGCTCTTTTTCTCAAAATGAATCTGGCATCGGAATCACTTAGATTGTCTTGGTTTTAAAATTGCTATCCTATATGAATGTGGTGCTAGGTTTTAGGTAAGTGCTCTTTCCTTACAAGTTCAGTACTTACCCAACAGGAAAGAGCCTCTGTATGTTCCTTTGGGCTATAAGCAAACACCCCAACTCTACCTAGTTACCCTTTAGCTGGGTGGAGATGGGTACTAGATTATTTTTAAGTGGTGGCTTGAGATCTTAGATCTTTGGCTCTATTTATTTGGAGGTAAATTCGTTAGCGCATGGCAGTTTGGCCCTGTGTACAAGGTCCTGAGAGTTGAGCCCTCTGATTTTTATGCTCTTGCAGTTTCTGCAGGACATCTTAGATACACTCTTTGTGATTTTGGATGATAATACAGAGAAATACGGCCTGTTGGTGTTTCAGTCTTTGGTAAGTCTCATCCTTTCTGGCTCTTCCTTTTTCCTATCACATCTTTTTGAATGAGGGAAGTAATTTATTAGAGTGAGTCAGCACAAGGTTCGGATGTTTTCAGTAGAAAAGGGACTGAGGAGTAGCACCCAAGAAGACCAGCCAACCTACCAGGCAGATCCCTACTAGATCAAATTTGAAGACTTCAGCATGGTCAGTTCCAGGCCTCAACTTTGTAGTTCTGATACTCAGTCTCATCACTACTGCAGAGTTGCCTGGTCCCAGAAATAGTACCTATACCAACTAAAGGCCCAGAAACCAGGTGGTCCATTTTTTCCCTTACAAAGTTGGATATAACCATCAGGAAAAGCAGAGACTCACTTGTGCTGGTCTGAGCATCACACCTTCTCCCTCTATGAAGTTGTTTGAGAACCAGAGGCTCAGGAGGTTGCATAGTGAGAATGACAGTGAGAATGACATTTTGCGGAATAGATCCAGTCCCACAGGAGGCGGTGTATTTTCGGAGAACCAGATTCTCCAAGTCTACCTGGTAGATGAGCAGAGGCAAGAATGGCACTGGCATAGTTCGCCCCTTTGGCTTTTCTTCTTGCTCACTTCCCTGGCCAGCCAGCCAGCTGGCCCCATTTCTGAAGGGCCCAGCCTTTCATAGGCTAATTTGGCTCCAAAGACAAAACGTTTTTTCCTCTTTTTTCCAAGTTTTTTGAGATGCAATAGTATTTATGCCACTTACACAAGTATTGTTTTGCCTTCCCCTGGTTTGTATTGTACACCCAGTGTTATTATGAAGAGGCTCAGTAACACTGTCACAGACAGAGGAGCCCCAAGTCTGGATTGGGAGTCCAGGAGTGGTAGGAACAGAACAGGCAAGACAGCAGTTCAGACACAATGGAAATCGTACATTTACTGCCCACGAGAACGCTGGACGGAACACTGACAGTTTGCCATTCCTTGAAGAAGCAAGAATTTGGTTTTGTGCTGGGGCCTCCAATGTCTGAGGCCTCCAATGAACCCCAGTACCTTCCATCTCTCCCAGGTGTTCATCATCAATCTCCTCAGAGACATCAAGTATTTCCACTTCCGGCCTGTAATGGACACATATATCCAGAAGCACTTTGCTGGAGCCCTGGCATACAAGTAAGTTCCATTTGGCATCATTGTTAGGATTTGTGTTTCAATAGAAAGAGGCTAAAAGAAAAGGTCACCGGTCATTCAGCTGAGCTTTTTTTTTTAAACTTCATTTATTGTTTTAATTTTGGTAAAATATATATAACATAAAATTTACCATCTTAACCATTTTTAAGTGTACAGCTCAGTGGCATTAAGTACGTTCACGTTGCTGTACAACCATCTGTCTTCACTAGAACTCTTTTCATCTTGCAGAACTGAAACTGTGCCCATTAAACATTAACTCCCCATTTCCCCTCCTCTAGACCCTGAGCAACCACTGGTATATTTTATGTCTCTTTGAATTGCCTATTCAAAGTACCGCATACAAATTGAATCCTACAATATTTGTCTTTTTATACCTGGCTTTTTCACCTAGCATAATGTCCTCAGTGTTCATCTGTGTTGTAGCATGTATCAGAGTTTCCTTCCTGTTAAAGCCTTAGTAATGTTCATTGTGTGTATACCACATTGTGTTTATCCGTTTATCCATTGACGAATACTTAGGTTGCTTCCATCTTTTGGCTGTTGTGAGTAATGCTGCTATGAATGTAGGTGTACAAATATATCTTCAAGATCCTGCTTTCAATTCTTTTGGATGTATACCCAGAAATGGAATTACTGCATCATATGGTAATTCTATTTTTAATATTTTGAAGAACCACCATACTGTTTTTCATAGTGGCTATACCATTTTACATTCCCACCAACAGTGCATAAGGGTTCTAATATCTCCACCTCCTAGTCAACACATGTTATTTTCTGTTTGTTTGGTTTTCTCTCTTTTTTCTTTTTTTTGTATTTTGCAATTTTTTTATAGTGGCCTTTCTAATGGTTGTGAGGTGATATCTCACTGTGGTTTTGATTTGAAATTTTCTAACGATTCATGATGTTGAGCATCTCTTTATGTGCTTATTAACCATTTGTATTTCTTCTTTGGAGGAAATCTATTCAAGTCCTTTGCCCATTTTTGAATCAGGATGTTTGGTTTTTGTTGTTGAGCTGTTGGAGTTTTTTATATATTCTGGCTATTCACCCCTATCAGGTATATGATTTGAAGATATTTTCTCCCATTGCCTTTCACTCTCTTGATTGTATCTGTTGATGCACAGAACTTTTCAATCTTGATGTAGTACAGTTTATTTTTTATTTTGTTCCTGTGCTTTTGATGTTAGATCCAAGAAACCATTTCTAAATCCAAAATAATTAAGCTTTGCCCTTATGTTTTTGTCTAAGTATGTCATCCTTTTGCATGTAGATAACCAGTTTTTCTAATATAATTTGTTGAAAAGACTATTCTTTCCCCTACTGAATGGTCTTGGAACCCTTGTTAAAAATAATTTGACCACGAAGAGTTTATTTCTGTGCTATTTTATTGTACTTGTGTATATATCTTTATGCCAGTACCACACTGTTTTGGTTACTATAACTTTGTAGTGAGTTTTAAAATCAGGAAGTGTGTGTTTTCTAAATTTGTTCTTTTTCAAGATTGTTTTGTCCGTTTGGGGTCCCTTGAGATTCTATATGATTTTTTTTTTTCTATTCCTGCAAAAAAATGCCACTGTGGGCTCTCAGCTGACATTTTAAACCATAGTCTCTTACATAGTTGTCAAAGCTGCAAAAAATAAGTCTATCTTTTTCTGTGGGAGACATGTGAATAGCTAAATAGAGCACACACAAATAAATGTCAAAGAAATAAAAAGACGGTTGATAAAAGAGATAATACAACTAGTAAACATGAGAGACGCTCACAGGTTATTTAAAATCATTAAAGCAATTTTTTTTTAAGTCACCATTTTCTTCTATGGAAGGAATTAGCACTATTTTAGAAAATATAAAGAAACCCAAGGATTCACTGGAACTTGGACACTTCCATGTCACTTTGGGGAGCAGGCACTGTGCTATGTGTTTTACACATGTCACCTCATTAGTGTTCCCAATAACTTTGAGATGTACTGTTGATTCCTCCATATTTCAAACGACGAGAATGAGACGGAGGAATCAAATAACTTACCCAGGGATACAGAGCTAGAAGCCAATAGGCTCCAGATGTGAACCCTGCCGCCTGACCAGGCCTATATGCTTGACCTCTGCTCTAATGCCATGTAAATGTCAGGCCTCCTGACTCTCTAATCCCATTTTGCTCAGGTGACTAGTTTCCCAAGGAAATAAAATAGATAGGATAAAGGTTGAGCAAGGAGGGACACGGGACTCTGCACCTGTATTCAGAGTCTGTTATTCTCTAGTCATGGTTGTGTGTTGTAGAGACACAGCAGCTCTAGACAAAACAAACATACACATGCAGGCCAAGACTTTGGGAAAACTTTCTGGTAATCAAAGAAGAAATGTGTCAGGGAGAGTGGTAAAGAGTGATTGTAATTGTTAATTAAAACGTGGCAGCTCCTTATGGACATCTGGTCTCAGATGTTCCAAAGATTTCACAGCTGCAGTGGCTCTATCGATTCAGTCTAGCTCATCAGCAGGATATTATTTCCTGTGTGGCTGGTTCAGGGCTGAAAACATTTCAGGCTGCATTGCTTGTGGATTAAAGTGGGGTTTCTGGAACCGTTCTCTTTCCCAGGGAGCTTATCCGCTGTTTGAAGTGGTACATGGATTGCTCAGCAGAACTGATTCGGCAGGACCACATTCAGGAAGCCATGCGGGTAAGGTACTGGCTGACTTCAAGAAAAGTTAAAAACAAAAACAAAAGCTGCTTGTCTCCACAGCTGGCATTGTCCATCACCTGATTTTAGTGTAGAATTTGCTGTTACTTTGCCCTTCGTTCCCTGCTGTTGGTTCCTGACCATCTTTAACACCTTTTCATGCCGTTTGCTACCACACCTCCAGGCCTTGGAGTACCTTTTCAAGTTCATCGTGCAGTCGAGGATCCTGTATTCAAGAGCCACATGTGGAATGGAAGAGGAGCAGTTCCGGTCCAGCATCCAAGAACTTTTCCACTCCATCCGGTTTGTTCTCAGTCTGGACAGCAGAAACTCAGAAACACTCCTCTTCACTCAGGTCTGTGAGCCGCAGGGGCGCTTTGATGCTTCCTCCTCCCTTCTCCCCTCCAGCCTACCTGTTCCTGCCAGCGAGGGCCCAGGACTCCGCCCCTCAGTCTGCAGAGAAAGGCAGCTAACTCTGAGGCAGCTGGCCGAGCAAGGCAGGTGTGCTTCCTGAGAACTCGGCAACGCCCTGTACTCAGTGGCATGCTCCTGCCACATCAGGAAAAATAGTTGAGATCTAGTCTCAGCTTAGACCTGAGTTGGGATCAGACCTGCTTCTTTGGTGCCAGGCTCATGTTTCATGAGTTTCAGAAGTCTCACCAAGTGTAGTATTCAGTCAGACTTTATGTCTTTGATTCTGATCCCTAGGAAATGGTATGGTACCAGTGTCCTGTTCCGGTGCATGAATGTAGAAAATGTCATTACTTGAGAGAGCAAACCAGCTACTTAGTTCATTGTTGATTTTGAAATGCCTACTTTCCCCCCTATTGTCTTTTTTATCTAGCTGCTTATAGTAATACATTTTTGTGCTGGTTCTAATTACTACAAAATAGCCTCCCTGTTATCTCAGAGAGTTACAGGTCTTCAGATAGAACTCATGTAAATTCTGTGCTGGGGCTGGCCTGGGCATACCCTGCAGTGTGACAGACCTGCTTCCCTGTGTCATAAGTTCCCACTCACCCGAGGCCAGTGTCTACTGTCTGATGAACTGGTCAAGAAAAACAGCCCCCCTCCTCCACCTGCCACTTAGGAAGAGCGCACTCTCATCTCCTTGTCTCGAGGTGACACGTCGTTTCCCTTTGTATGCCTTGGGTTAATTGTGTAAGAGGACTGAGGAGTGGAAAAGCCTTTGTACCACCTCCATGCAGAAGAGAGAAGAATGAGAGCCAGCTGTTATTGAAGGCCTGCTGTGTGCCAGGCACTCTACTGGAAACAAACTTTATGCTCCTAATTTTTTTCCTCATACCAATGTCAGGAGATAACTAATAGCATCATCTCCATTTTACAGATGAGAAAACTGAGGATTAGGCAGTAACTCACCCAAGGTTCTGTGTCAGATAAGTGTTTGTAAAGCTGGGATTTGAACTCGTGTCTGTCTAATTCCAAAATTCACTGTCTGTCTCCTATATTACTCTGCCTCCCAAAGCTTTTAGAATTATTATCAGATTGTCCTCAAGAGGCCACCTCATGGGTCTACCAGAGCTGAGATTCTAGAAGAGAAGTCTTCAAGCACATACACTCCCTGGGCCATCTAGGCCACTGAACTCAATGCCAACAGCATTGAAAGTCCTTAAGAGTTCATGTCTCACTAAGTTCACACATTTTTCACCCTTTGGATTTACACTTGAGACTGCCAGGCATCACATATAAAGGAAATAAAGTCTTTAGATTTCATGGTTTCAGATAAATGTCTCTATCCTGGGAAAATGGTCCAGCTCTCAGCTGGGTTGCTGGCTGCAGGGATCTGAGCATAGTTCAGCTAGTGCTGCTTGCAGGTGCTCAGCTCTCTGCCGTACTCTCTTTGAGAGGCTCCTGGCTTGAGTTTGGGGCCAAAGTTGAAAGGTAAAGAGCTTGATCATAGAGACAGAGACAAAAATTTAAATCCATTTTATAAGCAAAACCAGCTATGGGTATTAAGCCATGTTGAGCTGATTTCATTTTATATTCCCTTCTCTTGCCAGCAAATGCCTTGGCAAATTATGAAAGCTTCAAGTGGCCTGGGCCCAGTCAGTTCTCTCGTTTTGATTTCCGTTTTGGTTCTCCCTGCTCCATGTCCCCGGAGTGCTACAGTGATGGGTGGAGTGAAAGCCAGGGGGAAGCCCTCCCACAGCAGGGCCTGCAATGCCTTCTCAACCTCTCACCACCTTGTGTCTTTGTATGAGTGCAAGATAGGCACACACCTGCCTCTGAGCTAACCACAGCTTCACTTGCTTCTACAGGCTGCACTCCTCAATTCCTTCCCAACCATTTTTGATGAGCTGCTGCAAATGTTCACCGTGCAGGAGGTGGCAGAGTTTGTGAGAGGGACTCTGGGGAGCATGCCCAGCACTGTACACATTGGACAGTCAATGGATGTGGTGAAGCTGCAGTCCATCGCCAGGACTGTGGACAGCCGCCTGTTCTCTTTCTCAGGTAAATCAAGATGGGATGAGAGCTAGACTCACCTTTTCAGGGTGCTAGCCAAGTGGCAATCAAAAGACCAGTTTTATCAACCATCATGCAAGGAGCCAGTGGCCCTTAAAATACAGACTTTTGGGTAAACTATGTTTGAAAATGCAGACTCACAATTTATTCCTAGCGACACGCATGACATGACCTTCAGAGCAACTTCAGGCCCTTCAATCTAGCTAGCTGCCAGGAATGGGGCCAGCAGGGTGGGAGAAGAGAGGAAGAGCAAGAGAGAAGGGCTAGCCCAAGGAGAACAGATCAGGGAGTAAAGCGGTCCTGAAGGGGGCCCTGAGAACCTGCTGTGCTTTCTTGATTCCTTGTCTCACCAGTCAGACTGCTTTTCCTCTCTTTGAAGGAACCTCTAAGCATTAGACAAAGAGATGAACAGGGAACCCTCCACACTCCCAAGCAGGTCAGAACAGCCTAACAGATACCATCAGCAGCCCAGGCAGCCATTCAGAAAGAACCAGGTTCAAACCTGAAACCACATTGAACGTGACCATTTTGCAGTGGTACCAAGTACTCAGTGGCCAATGTTAAGATCAACATAAGCCTGATCCTTTAAGCAGAATGTTACTATTATAGGATAAACTTCTAAGGCACAGGAATAAGTCTGAAATGCTAGACAAACAATTATTAGAATTTTTATAATTAGAATTTTTGGTAGTAAATTTTTTTAAGTTTGACTTTTGAAGCATTAGGAACAGTAATTTCACAGCCCAGTGCTACACGTTTGCAATACTAAGCAAAGGTTCTCTTTAATTTAACTTGCTAGTGTGGCGTATTGCTGATGGCAAAGCTGCCACCAAGAAAATCAGCTTTTCTTTCAGTAACTATGTTAAACACTCTCTCTTCACCAGCTCCCAGACTGAAGATTTTATCAGTAGCTTGGACTCACTGTCACTGAGGCCATTGCCCATACTGAAGCTTTATGTACTGCTTAGGAAGATGCTTTCTGGATATCTGGGAAGGGCGCAGCAGGCTGCTCTCACTGACATGCTTTATTTCTAATACTTTTTCAGGTCCTTGCTGCTTCCCATAATCATGTAGAAAACTTGTTCATAAACTTTATGTGGCTGTGGAGCTATGTAATTGGGTTTTGAGATGACAAGGCACCACCTAATTTCCATTCCTGTCTCACTTTCACTGAGTGCCCAAGCTGCAGACTCTTCCCGGAAGCAGGATTGCTGCCGGGTGGTGTCATTTAGCCGGCACTCTCATCCTCAGAGCATGTTAGTTTGGTTTCTTCAGCAGATTCCAGTAGCAAACTGCTATTTTGTCTGCAGGCAGCTGTTGGTTGTTTCAAGTTCTGTTTTGTTGGTATTTTGGCCTACAAAACATTATGAACTTCTCTTTGGGCCAAGCATCTTTTTCTGACATAGAATAACTGTCAATCCATTGTATTGGAATATATTCTAATAAGTATTTGACAAGGCAGTCCTAAAATCTCTGTGTGTCATGCAGTTTGTCTTTGGCTGACAAAGATTTTCTTTCTGAATTTCATCTGGAACACTTAACTGTAGTGAAATATGAACAATAAATCCAAAACTCTATGGCTCGTTTGTATTACTGATAATCTGACTGAACTGTGCTGGCCAGGGACCAGAAATGGTCACACTTGTATTGTCATCACACCTATGAGTGAATGCAGAGGGGCCATTAGCACTTCATTCTGCAGATGAGAAACATCAAGCCCCCAGGAAGAAGTGACTTGCCTAAGGTCTTGGAGTGAGTTAGTAGCCTTCCTGAATTCAGGGTGCTAAATAGAGTCACCTCCAATGACAGTGCTATTTGGGTAACATTAAGGAGAAAAGAAAAGTAGGATTGGCAATAAGGGTTAGCTAATTATCAAAGGTTAATGACAGAAGTCCTTCTGTTCATTGCTGTGGTCACACCTAACATCCCACAAGCCTGAAGGGAAAATGCTGGGGCAGGGGGTTGAGGGAATGGAAGTGCCAGGCCACCTGGCCAGGGTGCCTTGAAGAGGGACAACTTGTAATCCATATCAACTGTGCACGATCAGTCAGTGCAGCTTATAGAGCTGGAGCGTCATTTAAATGGAATTTCCACTGTAAGCTAAGCCTTTAATTTGGAGTCTAGTCGTTAAAGAGATTTCGATTGGAAGCGGTGTCTTAACATTCATCTTGCCCACAATACCATAGATACTAAGTCTTGACCTGAGAGAAGGAAAGAGGTGGAAGGGTAATGCTGTTGGGTGTGTTGTAAAGGCCAGAAGTGGACTTCCAGGCCTGCCAAAGGGAAGGGGGTGGCCTCCAGCTTGGCTTTAGCCCCAGCCCCGCCTACTTTGAGACCAGCTAAGCCCACAGTGCCACTGGCTTCCTGAGGTGGTTCGGTCTCCTCTAAAGGGCTCCTTCACCTTTGTGTCTTCTCTCCCAGAATCCCGCCGCATCCTGCTTCCTGTGGTTCTCCATCACATTCACCTTCACCTGAGGCAGCAGAAAGAGCTGCTCATCTGCTCAGGGATTCTTGGCAGCATCTTCTCCATCGTCAAGACCAGCTCTCTGGTAGTGGCCCCACACCCACTCCCCTCTCTGCTCCGCTCTAGACTGGTGTCACTCTAGCCAGAGGCAGACCAACAAAGATCGCTTTGTACACTTCTCAGTCAGAGAAGCTTTCATCAGTGACAAGAAGGTGCCTGAGTGAACCGAGGCCTGTGCGTGCCCAGCGGGCTACTCAACACAGTCTTGCTATTTTTAAAAGTTTCTCTACCATACATCCACCCTAAATCCACCCAGAAACGTAGCTGTCTGTAGTACCAGACAGCCCAATCCTGTGCCATGCTCTGTTTCTATCAAAGGTGTTAATGCTGTGTTTCTGGGAGTGTTCTGAGGGTGCTCGGGCACAAACGGGGGCAGGCAGGCTGAGAGGCAGCTTGCTCATTCAGACTTTTCTGTCAGCTTCCTGGCATCTTGATTCCACCCATATGGCATTCCTGTCCTATGCCAGATGAGGTCAGGGTGTTTGAGAGATAAATGTTGCCCACAGGAGCTCTGAGCCTCATTGGATGGTAGAATTATGCTTTAGGGGTGAGGTTTCAACTAATAATGCTTTTGCCTATTTTCTTTCTTTTTATTTTCTTTTAAAAAGAAATCTGTGGTGGGAGGGAAGGAAGGGAAGACACGTGTCAGGCATGAATAATTTATTTTAATGACATATTTTATGTATTTATGATAATAGGAGAAATGCCCATTTCTATAGAAAATTTGGGAAATATAAAGAAATTAAGAACAAGAATGAGTTTTTTATTACACCATCTTATTAAGCTGAAATAAGGTTCCTGGGGATTAAAATTTCAAGTGCCTTGAAAATGAAGGCCAGTATCCAGGTGATAAGACCATACAAGGGCAGACCAGCCACGTGGACCCAAAGAGGTGCCAAAAAGAGACTATGCTTGGTTTGAGCAGGATACAGGGACCCAGTAGGGCACTCTGGTGTCCAGACTTAAAGTACCATCTGGTGATGATGCCCAGCTTGGCAGAGCCACTGTGAGAGTTGTAGTGGCCCTGTTGTTTGCTCTTGGCTCCAGGCAAGTTCTGGCAGCTCTTCTTCCCACCAGGCCTAAGAGGCAACACGAGGTGCATAAGGTCTACTAGTAACCCAAGGTCAGACTTGATGGGGTGGTAGGCTTATCGCTAAAAAAAGGACACAGATTGAAAGATAAAAGAAGGGAAGAGGAGGAATGGGAACAGGTAAGAGCCTGAAGGAGATGGCTTGGTTGTATTTGTGAGTCTAGAGAGTTGGATGCAATTAGTTGCTTACAACTTCTCAAACAGGCTCCACAGGTAAGAGTGTTAAAATCAGGTCAGCAGATGAGAAACAGCTTCGGGCTCAAGAGCTACTCAAATTCCTCATGTGGATGGGGCAGGGTGTCATTGTATCGAGTAGACAGGTAGGGGATGGATGAAACTGAAGCTCCATGAGAGCAGAGGTAGTAGCTTCCTTGTTCACCTCTGTACACTCAGGTCTCAAACTGCCCGGCACATGATAAATGCTTAATGAATGATGGATTGATGGGTGGGTCGACAGGTGGACATTTCGACCAGTAATAACATAAAGAGGCTGGAGAAGGGGCCATGGGAATCTCTGAGATAATTAAAACCAAGCCACAGGATTTGAGATGGAATGTGAGAGGGCTGTAAAAGGATAGCACAGACTCTTTGCAAGCTCAGAGCCTCATGGCTGGGAAGCAGCCCTAAGTGAACAGGCATGCTTTGTGTTTCTGTGAGGCTGCTCAGAGATGCACTGAGACCAGAGCCCTTCAGGTGGACCAGTGACCAGGAGCAAGAAGGCTGAGGAGCTAGAAGTGGAACCTAGCAGCAGACAGACTGGCAGAGGTTGAGATCACCCAGAGAGAAAACCCTGAGAAGAAAACGGTCCTCAGAAAGACTAAGACACTCCTGTGCTCATTAGCAGTGGTGAAGGTGCTGCCCCACACCCTGTGGTGTGAATACTTTCCCATTTTCTCAGTGTTGGTCAGCAGTGTTGTGCTTCTCCTAACATTTATGGGGAAGTCAAAGAAAACCTTCAACTCAGGACCTTCTCTTCTGTCCTGTATTTGAAATGAATGTATCTGCCTGCAGTTCAGAACTGTGGGTGTCAGGTGGTGCTCGGTAAGGCCTCAGCCACCACACTGGGGCTTCGGTGGCAAGTGTTCCACCTCCTCTCAGAGCCATTGCCCTGGGTTCCCCCACACTGCATGCTAGTGAGGCTGATGGGTGAGAATCCAGTCCAACAGCCAGTGCTGAGGTGGCTGACTTAGTAAGTACTGCCAGCTGCATGCCAGCTGGGCCTGGCGCTAACGGTGTGCTCTCTCGCTGCTCGCTCCAGGAGGCAGATGTCATGGAGGAGGTAGAGATGATGGTGGAGAGCCTCCTGGACGTGCTCTTGCAGACTCTGCTCACCATCATGAGCAAATCGCACGCTCAGGAGGCGGTAAGAGGGCAGCGGTGCCCGCAGTGCACAGCCGAGATCACTGTTAGTAACTAACATTCAGGTTTCCTTGCTTTCTTTTCTAACCTGGGGCTCCTCCACACCAACTCCCATCTCGCCACACTCCGCCTGCATCTCACCCTCCCCCTGCATGGTTGTCAGCATGCTGTCATCTTCCCTTCTCCAGTCTCACTCCCATCTCCACTTTGTAACCTCTAGGTTCATACTCCCAGAAGTCTACGTCAGGGCAGATTCAGGAATGTGTCTTGTCCTATTTCCTGCACACTGTCTTTGCCTTTGTGCCAAGTCATTTTCTATAGTGTGGAATGAAGTAGAGATGTAGTAAGAGGTTGAAGGCAAAAAATAGACTGCTCCTTCTAGGAACAGGCTCTCCCAAATGCTGTGCACAGGAGAATAATTTTCTCAGAATTTGCTTGAATCTGCAGGTTAGTTGCTTCCATCTGTAGTGTTTGTATCTCAGTGTCTAGCCTAAGGAAAAAAGCAATGAGGTAAAACTGTAATGGCATTACTGCTGGACAGTGATCTTCTATGGTCTAATTAGAAGAGAAAGAGGGGAAGCCTCGTGGGAGGGCAGAGAGGCAGCCCCCAGAGTAACCCTCTCCTATACTCAGAGTGGGCGTCTTAGCCCTGCTGTTGGAACATGATAAACGTTGCATGGAATCTTCCAGTCAGCAGGTGGGAGATGACCATGATCCCTTTGAAGAAAACCTTGGACAGCCAAGCTCCTCATGCCAGGCGAGCAGGGAGAGCAGAGAGCAGGCACGTGTTCTGGAGCACTGGGCTTGGGGAGAATGCTCCCTGAGGAGGTCCGTGGAGGGCACTCTCACTGTGGGTAAACACATAAGCACCTGGCATGTCCTGGTAGCCCATTCTTCTGACAGCAATACAGTGTTTACTGTGGGCCAGACCCTGCTTTACACCCTTTACAAATATATTAACTCATTTATTAGCAATACTTACCAAGCGTTTCATTTTATATGGATTTAATGAAGATGACAATAACTAGTTTATTGAGCACTTCTTTATATACTGGATCTTTTACTTAAATGCTTTATGTGCATTATTCTGATCCTTACAACAAATCTGTGAATTTTGGCTTATTATGCCCATTTTTCAGATAAAACCGAGGTTCTCATACATGTATATATTTTACATACATATATGTATAATAATTTTGTGGGTTTAGAAAGGATTTAAGAGACTAAAAAACTGTTGTCAGATTCCCATGAGTTTAAAACATTTGAAAATTGTCCAAATGAAGCCATCTTGCTCCATTTTTTTCTGAGGAGGCATTCTTCCAAGAGGAGGCCGTGCCCAGCTGCCCAGTCCCAAAAATTGCCATGAGATGGTGGAAGTCTTTGGAAGAAATCCTTAAAGCAGGATTTTCTTCCACCTGCCTCAGTTGGAATTTGAAGAAAGTTTAAAGACTAATTTTTTTTTATCTTTATATTCTCACTAGTCTTAAAGTCTATAGCTTGCCAATTGCTTGGTCCACTGACCACATGTAAGCTCTGGGAGGTCCCCAATAAGATCCTTGTAGAAGGACCCAGCAGGATGGGCAGAGTCCAAATTCTGTCCAAAGAAGGCTGAGCACCTGGATCCAAGTGGCCCCTCTAGACTTCACTGTGGTGCCCTGGCCTCATGTAGTGACAAAGGACTATGTTGCCAAACTCTCCTAGGAAAAAAACGAGTATCCATCTCACTGCAGTATTTCTTTATTATAGGTTAAGGTTTTTCAACTAGCCCCATGCTGCAGAAATCTTACTAAAACTCCCAAACCCTCCAGGCCTCACTTAGCGGAAAAGAAGACTCATTTTCAGGGCCAGAGTTGTCACCTTCCCTTTCATGATCATTGGGGCCATCTCAGACCCTTCCTTCTGTCCTTGCCCTGTGTGGACTGGGGAAACATATCCCTTGTAATTGTCTGTGCTAAGTGTGTTTTGGGTTTCCCCAGGGTGAGTATGTGTCCTGCCTTCTCTCACTGCTCCGCCAGATGTGTGACACCCATTACCAGCACCTCCTGGACAACTTCCAGAGCAAAGATGAACTCAAGGTAGGCAGCAAAGCAGTTACCTTTCACTCAGCAAAGGAAGCATGTGGCTAAGGCTGCCCAGGGGCTTTTCCCCTGCCAGGGGACAAGTACAAGTGACCAGATTAGGACTGCCAGGGGTGTAAGATTCACCAGCCCCACTTTACAGCTGACTTTACGGCTTCCAGAAGCTGAAAGCCAGCAATGTTCTCATACAGCCAGACCCCAGTAATACTGGCAGATTTTCCCTGACTGATGGCAACCTTGTGACCATGTGCCTTTATGGGAAGCTACTCTGGGCCACACTCGTTGGCAGTGAACCAGGACCCCAGATTTTTCTTTTAAGTGCTGTTGGCATTATCTTGTTTGTCCCAACTGATATGGATGCTTCATGTAGCTGGGATGTTAAATTATTATGACTGATTTTTTTTCCCCCAACAAATACTCTAGTGATAAGACTTTCCTCACTGAGTGAGCTCTTGAGTCAGGTCAAATAAGTCCCCTGCGTGAGGCTTTCCTAGGTGACTACCAAGTAGAGAAAAAAGTAACAGTTGTCTGGGAATGGCACTTTTTCAGGAACTCCAAACCATTTTGTCCCCTGCAGTGACTGCTAGGCTGCTGGTTTTCAAGGCTACCATGGAGGTTGGGAGAGAGGGTATGGGAATGGGAAAGTTAGAACACAATGAAACTCAACTGTTCCTACTGAGATGCAACCATTTTTCTTGAATAATGCTTCTTGGATTATTGCAGGCCTTGATTAACCAGTCCTTGCCACTATTTCAGAATGCTTCCTTGGAGGAGCACATTTTTAGAGGCTCTTACTCCGCCATTCCTAAAGTGCTTCTCCTGTCTATGTCTTCCTAACATCCAAGAAAGCAGATTCTTAAAGTCAGATGCTCAGGGACCATGAGCCAAAGAATAAGACCCATGGACTCACTTGGTTGGATACCAGTTCATGTGCATTCTAGCCTTCCCTAGGCACTGGGCTGCCTCTGTTCTACCCAGTTTGGATCTGCTCCCATAATCTGACCTGTGAGAGTACCTAGAACTCACTCTCTATGAGAAAAGCAATGCACAAAGGGAAGCAGAATTGAACTCACTGGTCTAACCCATTCTCGTGATCTAGAAGTCAGGAGGCCCTGCTGAGGAAACGGCTGCAGTGGTAGTGGGGGTGTCTCACATCAGGTTTTCCTCTCATTTCAGGAATTCCTGCTGAAGATTTTCTGTGTGTTCCGGAATCTGATAAAGATGAGCGTCTTTCCTCGGGACTGGATGGTGATGAGACTTCTCACAAGCAAGTGAGTGTGGAAGGGCCCTGCACTAACATCCACAGAGTTGTTCTCAGACTAAGGAGAGTGCATGTATGTGCAAGAGAGAGAGCAAGCAAGAAGTCAAGACCAAGGCCATAGGGACAGAGAAGAGAGAGTAAATATGAAAAAAATGTCAGGCACAGTCAGTAGGACTTGACCATTTTCCATAAGTTCAAAATGAAGAGCCCAGCCGGGCGTGGCTCAGCGGTTGAGCATCAACCTAGGATCCAGTAGATCGCAGTTCAATTCCCAGTCAGGCACATGCCGGGGTTGCAGCTTGATCCCCGGTCGAGGGCATGCAGGAGGCGGCCAGTCAATGGCTCTCATCATTGATGTTTCTCTCTCCCCCTCTCCCTTCCTCTCTCTGAAATCAATAAAGATTTTTTTTTTTTTTTTTTTTTTAAATAAAAAANTCTCTCTGAAATCAATAAAGATTTTTTTTTTTTTTTTTTTAAAAAGAAAGAATCGGAGTTTTTAAAAAAATAGAGACTAGGTGCCTGGCAAATGATGTCATGGTAAGGATACACAAGGAGATGCTGAGGATGCGAAATGTGACACCAGAGGAGGGTTTCTTCTTGAGGAAGGCGTGTTTCCTGGCCCATGGCTTCTGTGGCTCTGTAGTTTCATGCAATGTCCCAAGCCTTCCTCTTGATTTGGTTTGTGTTGTCTGCCAGACACTGTTCACCTCCCACAGTTAATGCTAATTACCCACCTGAGACCTGGCTGTGAGGCTCTGACCGCTTCTGACTCTGGCCACAGAATTCACATTAAGACTGACCCCAGACTTCCTGCCCTGTTTCTATTTCTAGCCTGTGCTTCTAATTGACAAACCAGACAAGTGACGTAGGAGGTGAGGTGCTGCCTCATCTGGTCTCCCTCCATCAGGAGAAGGCCACTTGGCCACTGCTCTCTAGTCTGCTGCCTCCTCCCAGTGACCTGCCCTTTGTGTTGTCATTGCGCAGTATGCAGTGAAATTATTTATGTTAGCTATGTTAACGGGGTATCAGCATGGTCTTTCCACCTTGTACCTGTTGTAGTGCCCTGTTTTTCTTTTTTCAAAACTGCAAACATTTTATATAGAACAGAACAGAAGAATGGTTATAGACAAAATTATACAGGTATTTCCTCAAATAGTGGATTTTCCGTTTGACTCCCTCTTGTTTCTGTCTCTCAGCTCTACTCAGCACCTCAGTTTCCCCAACCCATCCTGCAAGAGCAGCCTCTTCTTTTAAGGCTTTTACCTTTCAAATTTGTCGCCCCTTCTGCTGGTGGAGTTGTCTCTCTAATGCACTGTTTTTGCCTTGGCCCTCTCCTGCATCAAAGCCCTGGTGGTCACTGTTAGATATCAGGTCCTTTGCCAGGCAGCCAAGGCCCTCTGTAATCAAACTCTTACCTGCCTGTTCCACTTCTCTTCCTTTCTACCTCAACCTATGCCCTGGATTCCAGCAAGCCAGCCTCTCATTGAGAGTGATGTTCTGAACCAGAAGCTGGAATCAAATGACTTATAGATAAAAATAATAGTATATGACAAAGTAGATATTTAATAATTATAAACCCCTATGATCATGTGAAAAAATAAAATTATACTCTAAGTTCTCTGGTGGTAATAATATATGTTCAGCATATATGCACAACCCAAGGACATGGACAATGGTGGGGAAAGGGACTGGGGAGGGGGAAGGGATGGGGTGGAATGGGTCATTGGGGAGAAAAAAGGACATCTGTAATATTTTAAACAAAAATAAAATTTTTTTAAAAAGGGGAGGAAAATATATATATGTTCATTACCCAAAGTCCCCAAAATACTAGAATCACTCTTTGAACTGGAAGAAACTTTAAAGAACCGTCAAACCCCATCTGCCCCCTTTTTTAGGCAGGGAAACTGGGCCCCAGAGAGAGGTATTATCAAGGCCAGATAATGGTAGAGCCAGGCCCAGAACCCACTGATGTTCTGTGCTGTTCTGCCAGCAATGAAGCATTTCTCCAAGGCTGGTTTTCTGTGGGATTTGTACCGTCTATCTTTTTCCTTTATAGTCACATCTTACATGGGAGCACATTGTACTAAAGAAGTTCTCACCCAGGGTGTAGACAGTTGATGCTAAGCTATCAGATGCCATTGTTGTCTTTTAACTCTGCCGACGCCTTGTTCCCTTACTGCAGTATTATAGTCACTACTGTCCAGTACTTGTCTTCTGCACTGCACAAGAATTTCACAGAGACGGACTTTGACTTTAAGGTAGGCGCTCCTGATATCTATCACTACCTTTGTAATAACTCTAGAAAGCCAAAATCCAAGCTCACTGCTTTTGTTTTTGTTTTACCTAAAACAGCCATTTTATTTTGCTTACAATTTTGCAGGTCAGGAGTTTGAAAAGGACTCATCTAGGTGTCAGCTTGGGGGTTGGAGCAAGCTCCCCGATTTTTATTATTATTATTAACATGTTCATAGTATCAAACAGCTTCCAAGTTTGATAGTGACTAGACTGTCACCTAGAACAAGCTCCACGTTGGGAGGTGTTGGGAGCCAGGCATCCATGAGTATGCTTGCTATTCCAGAATTAACACTGTTGGCTTCAGAAGAGTCAAGAAAGAAAGAAAAAGTCCTGTTTGCAAAGATATTTAAAAGGAAAAAAATCAAGATCTTAAAGTTGTAAAATGAATTCTGTGCTACATGCATATATTTAGAATCTCTCCTTGCAAGGTTAAGGACTTGGGCTGTCATGCGTTTTCTCTTGCTCTGTCTCTAGGTGTGGAATTCTTATTTTAGCCTGGCAGTTCTGTTCATAAATCAGCCAAGCCTCCAGCTAGAAATCATCACTTCTGCCAAGAGGAAGAAGGTTCTAGATAAGTAAGACATATGTCTCTTATTCACCTCGTTGCCACATGCCCAGATGGGGCTGTGTTTCCAGGGAAGGCTCCTTCCGAAGTCCACAAGGTTCTCTCACTGAGGTGGCTTCCCAAGAAGCCAAGTGAGAAAGTGCAGTTGAGAGCCAGATGACTTAGTATTTTGGGAAACATTATAAATAGTGCTACAAACCCCCATTGGGTCTGTAGCCTTGTCTTCTGAACCTGTTCCCACTAATAACTGGCTCCTGTGTTATTGTTCCCAGGTATGGGGACATGCGTGTGATGATGGCTTATGAACTGTTCAGCATGTGGCAGAATCTAGGTAGGTCTTTCCTCCTTATTTGTCCCTTCCACATACTGCATAGCTGAGTAAAAAGTGACAAGACTAATAACTTTGCCCAGGTTTTATGAATGTTAATTTAGACCCAAAAAATCTTCACATGCCTTTAACATAGCACCTCATATGGATGGTGTAGCATGTGTGCACCAAGCCATTGGCAGGAGAGTTAGGCTGAGAAATAAATCCCCAGTAATACATATTCACAATCTCTTTTTTGAGAACTAAAATTCAAAAGGAAAAAAAAAGATGAGGGCTCCAGTAGTTTTTTTCCAGTTTGAGAACTCATGCCTGTAAGATCCTCTCTGCTATTCATGTCTTAGTTTGGATATTGCAGGCTCAAAAGCATAGATCTTGGAGACACTCAGCCCATGAGCAAGGGCAGCTATGCATTTTAATAAAGATTGAGCCCGGCCAGTGTGGCTCAGTGGTTGAGCGTCGACCTGTGATCCTGGTGATCGGGGTTTGATTCCTGGTCAGGGCACATGCCCGGGTTGCGGGCTCGATCCCCAGCGAGGGCGTGCAGGAGGCAGCTGATCGATGACTCTCTCATCATTGATGTTTCTCTCTCTCTTTCTCCCTCTCCTTTCCTCTCTCTAAAATCAATAAAGATATATTAAAAAAAAAAAGGATTGCAACACTTCTTGGGTTTCTGGAATTCAGGCATGCAGATCACATTCCTGACACCAATTGCATGAAGGTTGGATGTAGGAAGGGAATTTCAGCCCTTAGATGAGATTGGTTTCAGCTTCCTTTCTTTTGATAACTTCTCTTTTCAGCTTCTTTGATACCCACTGCTTGGGATCTGAAATTGTGAGTTTAGGGTAGTACCCTTGGATTGCCCTGGTGCCTAGGTGGGCCATCCCTTGGTACTGTAGGCTTTCAGTAGCCTGTCAGAGTGCTAGAGAAGCTGCGGTTACTCTTCCTGGTAAAGTCTGCTTTCAAGTAAGCTCATGGTTCTGAGGATCATCAGCCTTGGGGATGATGGTAAAACTTTATAGCCCTTCACTAACCACCCCCTAGTTTCTAACACTGCAGCAACAAGCAAAGCGTTCCTGCCAGCCAGCACTGGGCCTGCTGCCTGAGTGGAGATGCATTCCCCAAGCAGGCCCTCCGGCTTCAGTACTCTTACTTCCTGCATCGAGCACAGTTTGGGTATAGACTCTGAAATTCCCAGGAACACCATGGGCTAGCAGCTGCACCAAACACCAAAACTGGATATGTAGAATCAACCTCCCTCAGGGCTAACATTTGATCCTTAAATAAGCTTTTTAAATAGAAGAAATTTTAAAAGATGTCAAATTTGCCTAAAAAAGCCAATCCTTTCTCATTGTTTTTGGTGGAAATGGTATTTTCTGGTCCTCAAGTGTTGATTTTGCTTTGCTAGAACAGCAATTATCCTGTGGGCCCACAGTTTGCCTCTCCTCCTTAGTGTCTGAAGGACTGAAAGCGGGGCTCCGGCAAATGGATCACTCTGTTTCACCATTGCAAGGAAAAGTTCTGTCCCACGGTCCTCAGGACTGGCCTGGCTTCTGGGAACATGCCCCAGATCAGGCTGATCGCAGGGAAACCCTCATCACCACTTCCCATGCAGAGGCCTCATTGAAAAGTTTGAGGGGTGCCCAGTGGAGTGGCTCAGTTGGCTGGATGTCATCCCATGCACCAAGGGGTTGCCAGTTCGATTCCCAGTCAGGGAACATACCTGGGTTGCGGGTTTGAGCCTCAGTCGGAGAGTGTACAGAGGGCAACCAATCGATGTGGTCTGAGTAGATGTAATTCTACCATCAGAAATGCAGTGTGAGGACCAGGACCTGGGGGCGGGTGCACCCAGAGAGAGTCTCTAAGCCAGGAGTGCAGATCTGTGCAGGAGGCTCCTGCTAACTCAGGAGAGGGCCTCCAGGCATTCATAGGCACACACAGTAAAGAGACCCCTGGACTTCAGACCTTTAGTGGCTGGATCAGGAACTGAACATCCTCATCACTGAAATGCCTCTGGGCTAGAGATAGAAACCCCAGGGAGTGTGTGTTGTATTTAGATGGATTTTTTTCTTGCTAAATAACTGTTGTGAGCCGAAGATCTGAAACTATCACAGGTTACTCAGAAATCCTATTCGCTCTAGAGCAGTGAACTCTGTTCCTTGACCCCAGAATAATGTTCAGGCAGTTAGTGGAACTTCCCAGTAAATTCTTTGGGGAGGCCATTTGTGCCTATTGAACATGTTTTCACTGGACTAGGCCAGTTTTATTCATGAACTCTAAAGTGCCAAGAGGAGGAGTGTCTCAGAGAGCCATAGGGAAGAGCTTGCTTGCTCTTGGGTGCTTCCAGTGCAGATCAGAGCATGGCTGTGGCACCACATGGGAAGCTTCTATGAAGGAGCAGAGCAAGCATAAACTAGTGTCTATTGTGTGTTGTTGCCAGGTGAACATAAGATCCACTTTATTCCGGGAATGATTGGTCCTTTTCTGGGTGTGACACTGGTCCCTCAGCCAGAAGTGCGGAATATCATGATTCCCATCTTCCATGACATGATGGACTGGGAGCAAAGGAAAAATGGCAACTTCAAACAGGTACGATCTCTGGTGACTGATGCTGCCGGCCCAGAGACCCATTTTGGGATCTCTGGAGAACTCTTCTACCCATGTTTGCACTGTTGCATCTCTGCTGCTCTAGGTCCCCTCCCCACCTTTGCCCTGTTGGAAGCACAATCTACTTATACCTACACATGTGAAGGGACATCCCTTGTTAGAAACAGACCCTACTTCCCTTGGGAGGCTTGTGGCCAGCTGATTGACTCAAAGCTTGAGACCAGACAAGCTTTGAACTGGGAGTGAGATACCTTGGCTTCTAGGCCCAGCTCTACCTGACTTAACCCTAGGCAAGTGTCTGCTCATGCCGTTTCTCTGCACAGAGAGAGTTGGCTGGCCTGGTCTCAGACTTGCTGTTTCCTGTGAAATGTGTATTCACGCAGCTGGTGCATCAGGCCGAACATCAGCGTGTGGTGTCCCCGTCCTGGCGTGTAGCAGGCTGTCTTGTTTTCTGTTAATGAGATTTCAGAAACCATAAGTGACTTCAGTGAATTTCCTAATTCAATTATTCTTTTATTAGTTTATTGCCTTAGGACTCTTTGGCCCTATGTGGAGTGAGAAAATGTTTCTGTTATAGTTCATTAAGTGCAGCCATGCCATTTTTTGTTTATATGAAATATCTATATAAATAATACCACGACACCACATTTTCAGGGCTAATAAAGGGTTTAAGAGATTTTATCTCAAGTCACGTCCAGCTAATTTCTCACCTCAGAGTAACCCTAATGAAGTCCATTAGAAAAATGGCTGAGCACACTGAATGCCTTGCAGATCAGTGGGCAGTAGTAATAAATGCACGATTGTGCCTCACGGTTTAGGAATCCAACAAATGCAGGGGCCCTGGTGAGGACCCAAGGGTTTAGGTCCTATGGGGGCAAACAGTGGAGCCTTTTCTCCTGAAGGAGAGTCTCCAAAGGAAACACATCTCCCCCAGCCCAGCCTAATGGCAGGCAGAGTAAGGACCAGCCCCCCAGTTTCCTTCCTTTGTAACTGGCTGACTAGAAGGTAAAATTCTAGCCAAATATTTTTTATACATACACATTCTTTTGAATGAACATTTTTTAAGAAAGAAAAACCTTTGACAAAGGCCTCTTTTGGATCCAAAATATTTTCCTCTCCTGGGAGTCCTTGCCTTTTGCCCCTAGACTGGGGAAAGAGTATCTGAGAATTGTAAGTCCCAACTCTGTTTGAAACCACTGGAGTGGGAGGTCTTCCTGGCTAGGGGAGGCAGGGTGGTTTCTTGGGGCTGTAGATAAGCTTCTTCCTTCCCTGGGATTTATTTAGTGCAAGGGCAAACTAGGAAGCAGTTCCCCACCATCCTTACTATTGCAGGGTCAGCTCTGGTTTATAAAGTCTCTGCTTCCCTCTAGGTGGAGGCTGAGCTGATTGACAAGCTGGACAGCATGGTGTCAGAAGGGAGAGGTGACGAGAGCTACAGGGAGCTCTTCGGCCTGCTGTAAGCTGCTTCAGCCCCAGGCACCCCAAGTTGGGGGAGGGGGTGAAGAAGGCTAATGAAGGGTAGGGGTGCAACACATGCTGGGCAGGCTTCAGAGGGTGGGTATCAGGAGAGCCCTGGGTCATTCCTAGTGGTAGCAGTGATCACCTTCTGTCAATAAAAAAAAGTGGCATTGTGACAGCAAGCTCTCTCAGAGGTTGCCGTGGTTGACTGAGGAGGCAAAGCCAAGTGATCGCCCTGAGCTCCACATTTGCTGTTGGGAAAAGATCGTTAGATGTCTCATAGCATGCGCTGTATCCAGTTGGGCAAGCAGCACTTGGGGACTCAGTGAGGGCTCCATGCTGGAAGGGGGGTTAAATCCTGCTTCGTGAGATTGTGCAGTCGTCTTGAAAAGCACTAACCTGGGCTTTGTGACTTGAACAAGTCATACCTTCTCTCCCTGTTTGTGAACAAGGTGGTTGTACTGAATGACATCAAGGGTTCCACCATTCATGGCTTCTGTCTTGAGTTCATGGAGGCCAAGAGACCTTACAGGACTTGCCACAGGGCTAAGTCCAACGGGAGAGACTCGGGGGAGCCATGGTTCTCCCAGACAGATGGTGATGTTGGGTATTTTATCTTTCTAAAAAACAAAATCTTGAGACATTTATAGCTCTTGAGTCTCCTCCCCTCTCATTTCCAACTTTGAGATTTTGTTTCAGTGCCACATTGAAGACAAACTTGTGACATACTTTTCCAGTAATAATACTGTACATTTGCTTAGAACTGTACACTGTATAGGATGTGTTGACATTTCCTGTTAAATCCTTACAACACACCTATGCAGCAGGCAGGACAGGTATCATCCTGATGAATGGAGTGATAAAACTGAGCTCAGAGCAGCGTCAGCATGCCCCCAGCTGCACAGCCAGTAAGAAGCAGCTCTCGGGGAAGAGCCCAGAGCTTCTGGTTTTAAGGGGGGGGGAAGTCTTTCTGTTCTGCCATGCCCACTTTGTTTCTTGATGAGTCACACAATAAAATGTGAATTTATCTGAAACTTAAATAATTATAATTTGTGAATATGAATCCATCTTTTAGTATTTCTCTTTTAGCTGAAGCTGTTTCTAATTGTGGAAGTAAGGCAGAGAAATCTCTTCCTAAGCCACTAACATGACTTTACTACAAAGGAAGAAGCACAGAAGTAACTTGTAATTACTAATTACCTGACCAAGTAGTGTTTCATAAACCCGTCTAAAATTGTGTCAGAACTGAAAGCCACTGATAACATGGAGCAGCATTTCCCAGTGTGTGTTTTGGGGAAGATTGTAGGGATGCTGGAAAAAATAATAAGTGGATCATGGACTGATCAGTTAAGAAAAGACTCAACTGAACAAAATTAAACAGGCCCCTGTAATTGTAGACTTCTGAAAGCCTTTTAATGTGCAGAAAAGTGTGAAAATCTCCAAAAGGAGGATGTTGTGATCAGCACTTCCCATGCTTGTTTGCTCACAGAATACCTCTCCCTGTCGCCAGGATAGCAGAGCTCTGTAGAACACATTTGGGAAATGCTGACACACTGGCTTTATCCACGTGGGTCAGAGGCCAGAGCCAATGGTCCTGCCTTCTCTTCTAGTCACATGGAAAACCCTCACTTCCCCAGAAGTCTCGGCTCCGACTGTATACTCTGTGCTTGGGAGCAGTCATTGTCGTAGCAGCATTAACAGCTTTCAGGCTGTGGATGAGTCCCCAGTGGTGTGCCCCTAGCTGGGCATGCCAATCTAGGTGACTTTTCATGACCTTAGGGAGCTAGGGTCAGTATGGAAAGGAATTGGGAGAGCCCTGTGGGAAGGCAGAGGATCTCAGAAGCCAGGCTCTTTGGAGAAACCAGAGGCTGTCCTGAGGCTGCAGGAGTATGGGGCTGGCGAGTGCGAAGAAGACCTGGGCATTTAGCTCTGGCTCTGGCACAGTTTGTATAGAGCATCCCCTGACAGTGGAGATGGTGGGTGTAATTCCTGGAGGGCCTCATGTCATGACTGGTGGGAATCTTTCACTTATGCATGAAAGATTGATTGTATGTTTGCTGAGGATGGCGCTAAGCGGTGATTGAGGCAGTAAGCCAGTGGGCAAAGCCAGATCCAGCCCTCAGCAGACTCTTACTCAGCTGCTTCTTCAGAACAGACCTTACCTCACAGTGTGCACCAAAAGAGGCTGGGGCTTCGAAACCCCTCTCTCAGTTCAGTGGCATTCTTAGGATCTTGTACAGGAAAGTGGAAAATATGTTTATTTGTTGTTGCCAGTTTGGTAATTGCCTTGTCCTTGCTTTCTGCTGCATGGAGTAGAACCCAGCTGTTTGGGCCCTACCCCAGGTAAGACTGCAGTGTGGTAAGTCTGCTGTCTCCAGATCCATCACTGCCCCATGGGCTCTAGGATCTCACCCCTGTGCCCAGGGAAGGCTCATGAATTGTGTATTGTGTTTGTTTCTCTCACTTTTCCACAAATAGCCTGCTGGAGAAGGTTGAACAGGAAACATGGCGCGAGACCGGCATTTCCTTTGTGACCTCAGTCACCCGCCTCATGGAACGCCTTCTTGACTACAGGTATCTTCACAGGCACCTACCTGATCTCTTCTCTGGTCAGGATACTCTGTAGCAAGAGCGTCTCTTGACCTTAAAGCTGATACCATGTGTCCTTCAGGGGGAGGACTGTTTTGGTGCTGGGTGCCATCACCAGTCATTAAGAATCTACTGATGGCCAAATTAGTTTTTTCATGAAAACCTGCTTTCTCAGTCATTTCATGGCTTTTGAATTAGTCTGAAAGTGACAGTGAAGCTACCACCATAGCCTTAGTATTGTCTCAGCAGAGTTCGGGTATGGTGGCTCAGCTTGCCTTTTGGAACCGAGAAGATGTTAGGAATGAGGAGGAGTGAAAGAGGAGACCCAGCCCCAAGCAATAGTTGTCTCCTCTGTGCTATAAGACATGGAAACACCAAAAAGCATTTTCACCCATGGATCAGGCAATGTGAGCGAGCTTAGGTCCCCATCAGTTGCTGCTGAGTAAGTGCTGCTGGGCCAAGTGTTGCTCTGCAGAAGACTCAGGTGTCCGGAGCAGCGGCCTGGATGTGTGAATGGATTCCTGAGAGAAGTGCTCTCGTCTTGATCTTCCCCTATTCCTGCAGTGCAGCTGTGCTTGTGTCAGCTTCAGACCATTCTTCCTGGGCCTCCTGAGGTCACAGATGGCCTTTTGGGAGCCCCTTGTAGAACAGAGGATATCCTTGTCCATGCCATAGCCCTAGTCTTTCCTGTACCTGCCACCATTCAAGGAGGATGGGTGGGCAAAACTCTCACCACATTTACTAAAGGTTGGCCCTCTTCACTGTGGCCTGCCAGAAAGAGCAGAATTAATTTCCTAGGCTCCAGGGCCTACTTCTAGCTGCTTATTTGACCTCTACCTTGCACAAGCAACTCAAACTCACAGCCAAACCAGGCTCATTCTCCATTTCTGTCTCAGTGATAGTACCTTCAACACAAAGTTCAGACTCTTTCACATGACCTCAAAGGCTCTTCATAAAGTTGTCTTGGTTCACCTCTCCGGCCCTGGCTCCTGCCAGTGCTCAATACCCATGCCTTGCACCCCAGCCTCCCAATGTTCCTTGTTAGCATAAAAGGAAACCAAAAAATGGGAGCTTATGATGGCTCCCATTTATTAAAAATATACCATGTACTATGTGCTGTACAAACATTATCTTTAATATCATAAGCAGCCCTGAAGGGTGATCTTTACCAATGAAGAAATACCATTGGTAGGAAGTGCCATTGCCAGGATTTGAACTCAAATCTGTCTGACTCCAGAGCCATGCCCTATGCCTTCGTCCATGTGGTTACCACTCACATTCTTCCCTCAGGCTTCTCTAATGTGTGTCCTTCCGAGAGTTGGCTTTCTAACCCCCACCCCATCAAGGAGGCTTTCCCAGCCAGGAGCTTAGCGGGCTGTCTCTGCACCTCTTGCAGAGCATGAGTCACCTTGGATGGTGATCATTTGTCACCTGACTCATCCAACAGAAGGGAACCAGCTCCTTAAGGACAGGAACCTTGTCCTTATCACCCTGGCTTCCTGCATGGTACCTTGATAGTCCCTGGCAGGTGTGTAGCACATATTGATTAGATAAACTTACTGGAAGATTATGCAGGAACCAAGGAAGTCTCTTCTACCCCAGTGCAGTTGAGTTCAACAAGAACTCACTAAGAAAGTGGCTGTTTAAAGCTAAGTATGTATACACACACACACACACACACATCTATTATACAAATAATCAATAGGTTGTATTCCAGAATGACTTGAACCTGTACTGTGAGAGTTTTATACTGGCATGAACCGCAGGTACTCAGAGAAGTACCTTTTCAACTCTGTTAATGTCTTCAACTTCTGCATCCCAGACATTCTGTGTTGGATGTAAAAATGCTCACTGTTAGCAACTGTATTTCCCAGGTTAGGAAGCCAAGTCCTAGAAGGGTTTTCTTAGTGCCCTGGGACAGGGACGGAGCTAAGGTTTTCAAGCTCTTGGGGCTCTATTGGAACCTCTACCTGGAAGAGGCAACTGGAGGTCATGGGGCCTTCCTTTCCTAGGTCCCTGCAGTCACACAGGGCTGCCCAGCCACTGGTGTAGGCACAGCCAGCCCACTGCACAGTGCCCCATCCAGATGCCTCAAAAGCCTCTTTTAGGAGAGCCTTCCCTGCTCGTCCTCCTGGGGAAGCAGTTCCCGTTGGAGAGCATCCCTGGGGTTGGGTCACACTCATGCCTCAGTAACACTACAATTCTGTGTGTTGTCCCTGAGGCACCGTGTCATGCTATGGGACACTTATCTGCACTCTCCCTTCCAGGGACTGCATGAAAGGAGAGGAAACGGAGAATAAGAAGATCGGCTGCACCGTGAACCTGATGGTGAGAGGACATGGCTCTTCCTTCTGTCTGCCTAGTAGAGTCATTTCCATCCTGCAGTGCCATTGGCTTGGCCTTCCTGCAGTATGTGGCTGTAAGCCTGAGAGCTTGAGTCAGGATATCAGCTTGGTTACTGGCATCTTGGAGATGTGTACCTCTCCAGTCACATTCCCACTTGGGAAAGGAATGAAATGATCTTCTAGTTCTGTGGACAGAGCTCTAGCCTGGCCTCTTGGCAAGATCCCACCAACCCCGACATACCCTGACTCCCAGTCCACCCGCATCCCCAGTCTACACTGGCACTCTTACTTTCTCACTACTCAAGGCTCCTGCAGATCTGCCAGTGGCTCCACCCCAAGCCCATGTGCCTTCTGGTGGGTCCTTTCGCTTTCTGGTGTTGGCTGCCTCCATGGCCTGCCCTTCCACTCCTGCCCAGCACACCAGGGCTATGGCTTGCTGCCTGGACCTCAGGTATGGCCTCCACAGGTGGCAGCTTCTCCCATCTTTATGTGTATTTCCTTCTCTCTTACAGAACTTCTACAAATCGGAGATTAACAAAGAAGAGATGTATATTCGCTATATCCATAAGCTTTGTGACATGCATTTGCAGGCTGAGAACTACACAGGTGAGTGGGAGAGGGGGAGCCATGCCTCCCGATGAGGACAGACTGGTCAGGTGTGCACGGCTGGCAGACAATGGCTCTGGACTGGTGTCTGCCAAATCTTAGCAGTGTTGGGGCCTTGCTGCCCCCTCACCTCACTCCTTTCCCTCAACTCCTTTGTAATGGGTGGTGGAGAAAACAGGTGAAACTTCCACTTGTGCCTCATGCCATGTCCTCTGCTGCCCAAGGCTGCTGTTCTGTTCTCCTTGCCTCCTGTTCACTCCCTGAGGCCTCTTGGGTGACTTCCAGATTCTGGGTGCCAGGTTCAGAGCATCCTGAGCTCACTGTCACTCCTCACTCACAGAACCTTTCTAAAGGCCTTCACAGCTGAAATTACGTGAGGCCATAGCACAGGAACATGCACCTACCCCTGGACTTCTAGAACTCGCTGGCAATTCTGGGTTCTTCCCCTACAGCTGCACAGCAGTCCACATTGAGCTCCCAGTGGAGAACATGGAGAGGGCTTCCAGGCGACACTTTTGTTGTATCTGCAGCACAGCCCATTACAAAGGCCTTTTCTAACAATGCATTTAGAAGCATTTCAGTGTGCCTGTCACGCACGTTTACCGAGCACTGCCCTGCATCATGAGTCCTGCCTGATCACCTTGTACCAGAGTTCCCCTCACATAGCCACCTTCCTCCCTGGTGACCAGCCACTACATCTCCCTGTGGGCCATAGGACTTAAATTTGTGTGCGAGACCAGGATTTCAAGCAATTATCCACAGATGTTACCAGAATTAGATGGATCTATTGAAACGCAGAACCTTTTTCCTTATCTCTAGATGTTAGAGTGTTGGCATATAGGTGCCACCTTTCCTGAGTACACAGCTTGGCAAGAATTAAATGATGGCTGGGCTGGCTCTGCCATTCTCAACATCCACTTCCACCCATAATCCCAGCAACCCCCTAAGGGCAGCGAAGTGATAGACTGATAAAGTCCATGTATCATTCGCGGCATTTACTAAACTGGCGAACAGGGCCATGACAGAGGCTGGGTCAGGGATTTGGACAGAGAGAGGGTGGAGGCTGTCTCTGGTGGTCTCAGGAATGACATCTGAAAAGAATACATTGTTTCCTAAGCTTCAGAGGCTTGAGTGCCCAGGGGCTTGTCCCCAGAGACAGAAGGCTTCCCAGATCCAGGGAGGAAGCATGAGCATCCCTGGGCAGGAGGATCCCATGGCCAGAAGACAGGCAGAGAGGCAAGGATGAGGAGGAGCCTGGAGAGTCTGCGAGCAAGTGGGCCTGGCTAAAGCTGGAAGTGGTCCACAAAATAATTAGAAATTAGATTCTTCATAATCACAGGGAACAGACCTGAGTAGGGCCTTGAAGGCCAGACAGAAGCTAGAACTAATTAACTTTCCAGTAGGAGATGAACCACTAAAAATGAGCAGATAGAACAGGAAAGAGCAGGTGATGCAGTGAGGACCCTGAGCCACAGCTATAGTTCATTGTGACCCATTCCGTGGAATTTAGGGAGCCATGGTGTTTAGCTGTTGTTTTATATATAACCCTCTCTAATGGTTCCACATGTAGGGCAAGGTTTCACTGGGTCTCTGCCCTGGGTCCAGTGTCAACTTTAGGTTCCTCTAGGAATGGAGCTTCTGACTCCAGGCCCATCATGCGTTTATCACCATTCAACTTCCTCTCTCTGGTCCTTTTAGAAGCAGTAGAGATGAGGAGAAAGGGTCATTCCCAGGGCCACGCCGAGATCAGAAGGCAAAGGTAGAGGCATTGAGGCTGGCTCAGGAAGGGCAGAGAGAAGCCTTGGTCAGTGCTCACCCCTAAGAGCCAGTTCTGATAAGCCTGGAAAGAAAGCTCTAGTCAATTGAGCCAAAAAACCCCCAAGAGCTCTATCTGACATGTCCATGTCTCCCAAAGCAAGGCAGCCTGTGCAAAGACTCTCAGGTAGCTGGGCCATACTGCATCTGGAGCCCAGAACAAGTGACCAGGCAGTGGAGGAAGGTGTCTACCAGGATCTTTGGCTCTTTTATGCTGTTGTCAAGGGTTATTGGCTGGCTGGGCAGCTCCTCTGTCTCACCTTTGGTACCCAGTGTCCCGACCTGGACTGTACATGCCTTGCCTTGGCATCTGCCCAGTCCTTGACCTCCATACTGCCTATCCCCACAGAGGCTGCGTTCACTCTGCTCCTGTACTGTGAGCTGCTGCAGTGGGAGGAGCGGCCTCTACGGGAATTCCTCCACTACCCATCTCAGACTGAGTGGCAGCGGAAGGAGGGGCTGTGCCGCAAGATCATCCACTACTTCAACAAAGGCAAGGTAGGGTCATTAGGCCAGCGGTCAGCCCCTCAGCTTCTGCTGCAACACTGGGACGACAGCAGCTGTGGAGCGTGGTACGTGAGGTGGTGAGTGGGTGGATGCTCATGTGAGTGCATCAGATTTGGAGGCAGCATGATTTTCTCTTGTGGGGGGACAGCTGATTCTGTGTTTGGAAGCCAGTTACAGTTTGGGGGTGTAAGAGACAACTCCACATACCAGCTTTGCACATCTGTAAATGTTAATGCTCCTACAGCAGGGCTTCTGGGCCCCCACTTATGTTTACTAGATGCGACTTCCTAATCTGCTATAGAAACTGGGCTGTGGAAGTGGATGGATTTTAACCCTAGCCAAAGGATCCTTGTACTGCCTCTTACTGGTACCTGTTCTTGTCTTGGATTTCTCTTCTTCACAGCACAGCCTAGGCCTTTTTATTGGGGTTATCCTCCATTGGACTCGATGTTTCGGGATTGGCAGGCATTGTTAGCACTGGCTCAGGCTTCCTTGGGGTTCCCGGGAGGCCATTGTGCTCCCGTCTCTGGGAGAGCTCCTGGTGGGCCCTCTGCCCACCACCTTTGCTTGTGGCCCATACACTGGAAAGGCTGGAGCATGTAACTTGTTGAAGGTGTTCTTTCATTATTCAGCTTTAAGCGTGTTCTTAAGACTGAAATTGGATTATTCAGGGAGCTATAGTGGCTGTCTCTGACTTGAATGGAAATCGGTCGTTTTGTTTTGTTTTGTTTTGTTTTGTTTTGTTTTGTTTTGTTTTGTTTTTAATCGTCACCCAAGTAGAATTTATCCATTGCTTTTCAGAGGGGGGGGCATTGATGTGAAAGAGACATATCGATTGGTTGCCTCCCGCACATGGGATCAAGCCTGCCACTGAGGTATGTGTCCTTGACAGGACTCAAACCCAAGACCCTTCAGTCTGCAGGCTGACACTCCAACCACTGAGCCAAACCAGCTAGGGAGCCTAGTACTGCTCTAGACTTTGAGGATAAAGTAAATAAGGGCTTCTGCCCTCATGCAGTTTATCATCTAATTGAGACTAATGAAGCAAAAATGTAAATACTGTTTTTAAATAAGATGACGTCAGAGTAATGAAACAGAATAGAAGTGCCTGACCTTGACAAGGTAGTCAGGGAAAAGGCCTCTTGAAGGTGGAGACATTGAGTGGAAACCTGAGAGCTGTGCCTTAAGCTGGAAAGCCGTGGTGTTCTGTACTCTGCAAGTTGGTTTTGAGTGTATGTTCTCTGTGACACATGAGTTAGTTACAGGAGGCCTTTGGTTGTGTCCTCCAATGTGTTTGATGTGGGATCGGGCCCTTCTGAAGATGTCTGGGGTGCTAAAGCTTGTTCCTCTTTCTGATACAGAGCTGGGAGTTTGGAATCCCACTGTGCAGGGAGCTGGCCTGTCAGTATGAGAGCCTCTACGATTACCAGAGCCTCAGCTGGATTCGGGTGAGCTCTGCCCCTTCCCCACCCCAGCCTGAACTGGAGGTGCCAGGACTCCGCTGGCATCACTTTCCAAGTGAGCATTCACTGCAGGCCCAGCCCTTTGATTCCGTGCTATTGGACATTAAGGAGGAGCAGAAGCCAAGGTTTTTGCCTTCTGGATCCTTGCAGTTTGGCTGGGGAACCAAAACACATACTTGATGAATGACTATCTGATCCAGACTGGTGCTTAGGGACAGGAGAAGCATACACCGGGCAGAGCAGGGGACCCAGGAGGAGGCAGCAGTGCGACTTCATGCAGAAGCTTTTCCTGAAATCATTTTGTTCAAGGAAGCTTCCTCTGAAAACTTGGCAACATCTTTCCCTGCTATAGCTCCTGGTCACTTTCAAGCACCTCATTCTTACTCCCTCCTTTGAAGCAAAATATTCAAAAATTAAGTGAAATGTCCTATGGACTTTGAAGGCCTCAACCAAATTTTCCCTAGTTGCTGGTGCTGGGTTCTGAATCATAACAGCTGCTGAGTTCAATGAGAGGTCAGCAATCTCAGCTCACCTTCCTGCACCCTTATCAGTGTGGCTAGTCTACTGCATTCTCTGATCCCAATTGGGACTTGGACTTATATAATAGGCATGGTTCTCTAGCATTAGCTTCTTGACTGGTCTTTGAAGGCCTCTCCTTCCTGGCAGGCAGGCTCGATTAAATACATTAGAGCTTTCTTCTCAGTCAGAGTCCAGTGAGTTTTTCTGAATGTAGAGCCGGGTCAGCCAAGACTAAAAATTTACGTACCTTGGAAATGCCAGACATCATGGATAGTAGTTCAACTTTTAAAGTTTAAAGTCTCCTAAATTAGAACTAGTACCAGTGATGCAATTGAGGCTCCCTCACTCTATTAGCCTTTTTAGCTACATGATAGATGAATAAAAGCACCGCAGTTGGACTAATGCAAAATGGTGCTGAGATTTGCTGTTAGCCACCTATAAGCAACACCAGCCCAGGGTCAGTTGGTGTAGAATCAGTCAAAACCAGAAATCCCGGGCAGGGGAGGGGAGTTAAATGCACATGATAAACATGTGCCTCTGAAAGTGCAAGAAGCCTGAGTCTCTGTGGAGCTGGGTCCACCCACTGGGAAGGACACACAGAGCAGCCTATCAGGGCTGCAGGGCAGGCCTGTCCCCACCCCACCATCAGATGACAATGGAAGAGGAGGCTGGTCATGGCTGGGGGCTCACTTCTCATCTAGACTGAGTTGCTGTGTTCTCTTTATAAAAGACAATGTCTGCTTGGGCCTGGATGACTTGCTGTAGACCACTAGCAATCAAGCCAACCTGAGGCCACTGCCTTTCTCTTCACAGAAAATGGAAGCCAGCTACTATGATAGCATCATGGAGCAGCAGCGCCTGGAGCCTGAGTTCTTTCGGGTCGGCTTCTATGGCAGGAAGTTTCCTTTCTTCCTTCGGGTGAGTCCATGAGGTAGTCACAGCTATTTCACACAGAATTCGTGTTACCTGTCCTCTTTTTTGTGTGAACTTTTTTCCCTGTTGTACTGAACACTTCTTTTTGAAGGACTAAGCCAACAAAAGGCATTTGGCTTTACCTGCCTGGACTGGCTGCCTATTTTAGACCGTGTTTTGCCCTGCTGTACTGTTTTGTAGCTACCTGAAACATGAGGGTGGTTTTCTTACTAGATCAGCCAAATTCCTGCAGGAAATGACCTGGGTCTGAGAATGTCACATAAGTATGTTTAGAAACCTTCCAGCGTTCGCTCTCAGTGCCTAGAATCCTCCATTGTGACTGTGTCAGCCAGATAGGACACTAGTACAGCCCTGACCTCAGCAGTAGGTTGGCCTCTAGGGTTCACCAGTTAAGATAATGACTCTTCCCCATGGTTGCACTGTAGGCTGTGCAGCCAGGATGGAGAACTGTTGATTTGAGACAACTCGGAAGACAGTCCCCTTCGCTCCTGGGGCTTGCGAGAGTTGTCAAACATTGGGTTTGGCTGTGGAAAGCCTTTCTGGGCAGTTATTTCTCTCCCCAGGATGAAAACAGACATTTTTCTCCACTGTTGCCTGGAAGGGTGGGCTGGGATATAAACAGTGGAGGGAGTGAATGAGCATAGACGTCCTGACACCAGTTGAAAAGTTGTGATTTTCTTTTTTATTCAACACAACCCAGAGGCTCCAGGAGGAGTCAACCTGGGCTTGTGGGCTACAGTCCATAGGGATATGTCCTTCTCAGATGACCTCTGTGAAGCTGTGCTTATGAAAGGGCCCTGGGGCTGCAGTTGAGACCGAAGATGAGCTCTGATTATCACCAGTTCCAATATCTGACTAAAGTTCAGTGTCCACAAGTCTCAATAAGCAGATGGGAAATTCATAGAATCCCTTTGATATGTTTGGGATCCTGTCTTACTGGAGAAATCTCTTTAGCCAGTGAGCGATAATAAGCTTGGTAATAAGCACATCAGAGGTCATCTGTACTTAGTGCTCCTTTTAAAAAGCCAGTCCAGGCTAACCACATCTCAGATGTGAGGCAGGTCAGTTTGCACAGTTCTTGGGCTAAAAAGAAAAATGATTTCTGTAGGAACTAATAATGCTGATGGGGACAGCCAGCACACGCTACATAATTGTGATCCCCAGGAAGCTCTTAATTCTATTCCACAGGAGTGATTCTGGTAGCAGAATATGAGTTAGTGGAGGACCTCCTCAGGAAGGCTCGGCCTCCTTCACCCTCCAGGCACCATAGGCCCAGGCATTTCAGAAGTGGCATATCTGTTGCCCACATCAGCATAGATCATGCAACAGCAATGGAGGTAGATAGAAGTCAGCAGAGAGGAAGAAGGGATTCTACAAAAATTAGAAACCAAAAGCACCTCTAGAAAGTCCTTTGACAAATGATTCTGGCCCTGTAATTTCTTTTTCATTTCACGTTTGCAAAGTATGCTTTATTGTCATTTTATTCTCCTTTTCAGTCCCATTATTTATATATCATAAACCACAATTTACTCCAAAGCATCATTATTTTGGATGTGATACAAAACCAGGCCCTGGTGTCCCTCATTTTTGTCCCTGCCAAACAGGAGGTCTCAGTCATGGTTCAACCTGGCTCCCACCCCTCATGCTCATGTCACAGGGCACATCAGTGTCTCAGGGTTCTCAGAGCATTATGTGAAGTGGGACCTGGCATAGAACCTGTACCTGAGCCACCCAGATAACGCTGCTGCAGTGACAGTCTGAATGTTCAGATATGGTTTCAAGGGTGCCAGTAATGGAAGAAGAATAGCAAGGGCTGTTGGGAAATGTCACCTGTCAATCTGTCCCTATGTCCGCATAAGTAGTAGTCCCTAGGAGCAATGTTTCATGCATACAAATCAGCCTTGCCCAGCCACACACTGCCCTCCCTTCTCTCCACTGCGCAGTTCATCTGTAGCAAATGGAAGAAGTCGCAGAGGAGATAGCTGTTTGCCTTGTAGATGGCAAGGACCATGTGCAAAGCAGTGGCAGCCAGATCTGTCTTGTGTCGGGGTGCGGGGGCTCTCGCCTGAGCAAACCTGAAACTGACAATAAGCCTCAAGGTCAACGCTATGTGCTTTCCTTCTGCTGGGTCTTCCCTGAGCACATAGGCCACCGATTACTTTAGCTCTGTCAGCTTGGTTTCTCTGGACCATCTGCCTACCTCACTTCACAAGCCTGATTATCTAATAATCTGCACAGAGACAGGAAAACATCCAGCCCTGCCTTCTTAGGGGAATCTGTTTCTCTTCATTTGACCTGTAAACAGATACTGGTGAGGATTGTACCTTTGTGAGTGGATATGAAAACACCACTTCTTCATAATTACGTTTTTTGTCAGTTCTGCTTATCAGGCAAGGGGCTTAGAAGTGTTGCTGTCCTTTGACCACTGTTCTGTTCCACTGGAGAGGCCAACCTGCCTCTTCTGATCTTGACTTCAATTCTGGTGTTGCCCTTCCCTTGATCCATCCAGACATGTGGCCCAGCCTTATCTTGAGTTCTCCCTTAGTAAGAGAACAGTGGAAGGGGGGACATACCCTATTCCTAAAAGGCTGAGGTCCTCCAAGACCTGGCTGTGATCGTCCCTGTACTAGGAAGCGAAAGCTGGCCCTGTGGAATTTCTTCCCATCTGTTCCCTTAAAGACATGCCGAGAGGGGCTGCCAGTGCCTGACACTACTTTGTCAAAGTGGATAAGGTAGCTGCTGGGCAGGCAGAGGGATGTGACCAGAGGGCTTCAGAGGAACCTCCCCCAGCTGTGAGGTAGACAAACAGCAGAGTTGAGGGTGCCTTGTCATGACTTCAGTCCACAAAGGGGGGAAAATGAGACCTAACCCAAACCAAATATGATATAATGCAGGTTTTAAGTAATGTGTATTTAGAATTATACCAGTTTGTTTTCCTGAGACATTTGTCAAGGAATTGCTGCGATAAACAATTCCTGAATACCTACTGGCCACTGGACAACATTTAGATGGTTTCTCCCAGCTGACAAAAGTGACCCTTCAAAAGCACACACCTGCAGACCTCTCCAGTCACCCACCCACAAGTTCTCCACACATACCTTCTTTCCAGCTGCACCTTTCCTGTCTTGGCTGTTGTTGCCCTGGTTGTCACTGTACCCATGTAGGTTGCCTCTCCCCTCTCTTCTCTACCAGGCTAACCCAGCTGGGCCATTCAGGACTCTTTCCAGGCATGGCTTTTTCCAGAATCTCACCCCTACCTTGCACCTCTTCCTGGGTTCCCTCCTCCTCCAAGCTTCCTGCAGCCTGTGACCCCTCCCAGCTGCTACATCCTAGTGCATTTGTCCCTTCTTCCCCTCCCCCTTCCTGACCATCAACTCCCTTAGGACAGGGACTGAGTGTAGACAGGGCTCCGAGGACTTGTTTGTGAGATGAGTAACTGCTGACTCCCTTGTGGAGGTGGGGCTGTAGGCAGGGCATAGAGTGCTCTCCTCTTTGCCACAGAACAAAGAATATGTGTGCCGCGGCCATGACTATGAGAGGCTGGAGGCCTTCCAGCAGAGGATGCTCAGCGAGTTTCCACAGGCCGTTGCCATGCAGCACCCCAACCACCCCGACGACACCATCCTGCAGTGTGATGCCCAGTGTATCCTTTCACACTTGGTGGGGAAAGAAGGCTGGGGCCCTGTAAGGTGAGGCCCACCCAGTCAGCTGTCTCCCTTCCATGTTGTTGGCCTCATAATCTAGGTTATCCATAAGTCCTGAACCAGAGCGTGTCCTCATCACTAAGCCCACACTTATCAGGGCACTCATGCCTCACAGAGGAGGCCCTGGCATGCCCTTAGCCCTCAAGGGGCCTTTACCTCTCAGGCTGACTGCTGCCTGTCCCCACCCTGCTCTCTGAAGGGCCTTCCTAGGTAATCAGGAGCAATCGCTGTGTAGGGTGATTTGGGGTCCCACCAGGACTGTTGCCACAGGGACATCACCAGTTCTGTGCCCTGCTGCACTCCTGTGTGCATCTGTTACTATCCCAAGTATCTGTCAGGAGGACTGAGGTGAGGCTCTGGGGATGGAACGGAGGGAGTGGGGAGAAGATGGGGAGTGCCTGTGGTCTTGGGGTCACACTGGCCCCTCATGCCCCTCACACAGCTTCTTTGGAGACCTCATGACTGTGGCCAGCTTGTTCTGGGGGAGGAGAGGGCAGGTGGACTTCCATATGTTATCTCTCCACAAAGACCCCCAAAGAATTTTTTTTTAATATTTTTTTAATTGATTTCAGAGAGAAGGAGAGGGAGAGAGAGAAACATCAATGATGTGAGAGAGTCATTGATCAGCTGCCTCCTGCACATCCCCCACCAGGGATCAAGCCCACAACCAGGGCATGTGCCCCAACCGGGAATCAAACCATAACTGCCTGGTTGATAGGTCGACGCTCAACCACTGAGCCATGCTGGCTGGGCAAGAATATTTTATTAAAATGTTGTTTTACAGTAAATAGTTTACTTGCAGTGGGCAGGCCCAGGCCTGGGCAACTTTCTCACTCCTGTGGGGTGGGCATCTGACCCCTGACCCCTTCACCTCGTGAATAAAAGGGGCTGGAGAACTCTTGGGGTTTGACGGCTTTGCCTGGCTGTGTCCTCAGGAGGCGCCTCAGGCTCAGGGAAGGGCTGCAGATTGGGAGACGTGGTCTGACCGTGCTTGGGCCTGACCAACCCCCTGAGCACTAACCTGTCCTTCAGGAGGGAACAGAGGCTGTGATGTTCCTCTCTCCTTTGGGGATGGCATGGGTCACCCACTCAGGTTCACCTCTTTGGAAGTCTGGATTTCCCCTTCACTTCCTTCCCAGACTTGCAGATCTACGCAGTGACGCCCATTCCAGATTACGTGGATGTCCTGCAGATGGACAGGGTCCCGGATCGCGTCAAGAGCTTCTACCGTGTCAACAATGTGAGGAAGTTCCGGTACGACAGGCCTTTTCACAAAGGCCCCAAGGACAAGGACAATGAATTCAAGGTGAACCAATCTAGGAAAGCTGGGCAGTGCTCCTAGTGAGCAGAGCGAGCCCCACTTTCTTGGGAACCTGTCCCTGCGTTATCCTTTGGGCAGGCGGGTATGGCAAAAATTGCCTAATGCCTGTACCTACCTGTGCCCTCCTGCAGAGCCTGTGGATCGAGCGCACCACGCTGACCCTGACGCATAGCTTGCCGGGCATCTCTCGGTGGTTTGAAGTGGAGAGGAGGGAACTGGTGAGCCATGCTGTAGGTGGGGCTGATCTTCACAGCTGCTCCCTTGGCCCTGGCTTTGGGAACCTTCCGCTAAGGACTGGAGGAAGAAGGAGCAAGCTTTGGCCCCCTGCCTGGCCTAGGCTCCCACAGGCTAGTCCTGCGCCGGGGCTTTGTGCACCTCCTCAGTTAGTCCTCACAACACCCCGAGTCAGCAGGTACTTTTAGTCTCCTAGTTTTCAGATGAGAAAACCGTCCTCCGAGGCTCCGAAAGCCAGAGCTCCCTGGCCTCAGAACCATTTCTTTTCACTACTGGCCGCACTTCTCAGTACTTACAAGTCAGCAGAGAAAGTTAGGAAGGGCCCAGGGAGCCGAGTCCACAGGAACAAGGGCAGGGAAGCAGCTCCACAGGACTGTGATGAGGGAGGGATTGCCATGCCTGTGATGATACTGTGTGCTGTGCCCTCAGGTGGAGGTGAGCCCTCTGGAGAACGCCATCCAAGTTGTGGAGAACAAGAACCAGGAGCTGCGGGCGCTGATTGGCCAGTACCAGCACAAGCAGGTGCATGGCAACGTCAGCCTGCTCAGCATGTGCCTGAATGGCGTCATTGATGCTGCGGTCAATGGAGGCATCGCGCGCTACCAAGAGGTGAGTGGCCTCAGCTTCCTAGGGCAGCCTTCCCAACTGCCCCTCTCCCCACTGTGCCTCAGCTGGCTGACGATGGTCCTGGATGAGGCTTAAGGTCCCTTCTCCCTGTTTTTTTGGCACAGCTCTGGGAGGGTTCTTCTTTTTATTCTCTAAACTCTGCCAGATAGGTAATCCTTCTGATTCTGGAAGCATGTTAAGTGGCCCCCAAGAGGAATCCTGGAACCCAACCCTTCACAAGAAGTGAGTTGGGGGCTGGCTAAGGCACACCACCACACCCTGGCCACCAGCCCTGCAGGATAGGACTAGCATCCAGGCTTAGATGCCTTAACCATCATCGGTCCTTCTTAGATACAAAAAACATACCTGTGATTGCAGGAGGTTCAAGCAGGCCACTAGAGATGCATTGGTATGTGTACCTGTGAGGAGATAGCCTGATTGCCTTTCAGGTGGCACCTTCACACTCGAGCTTGCTGGGCTCCTCTAAGTAGTAGTCTTGGGAAGAGTCTTCCAGACTTGGCCTTTCCTTTCACAGGCTTTCTTTGATAAAGATTACATCACCAAGCACCCGGGAGATGCTGAGAAGATCACCCAGCTCAAGGAGCTCATGCAGGAACAGGTATGTCTTGCAGGGCTTAGAGGCCAGTGGCCAGGAGGGAAAGGCCATGTGCTAGAGTGGCTGCAGTTCTCAGGGGCTGCTCCCTGGCTAACAGAGTGGCATGGTCTGTCACCTAATAGGTCCATGTCCTTGGAGTTGGGCTGGCAGTTCACGAGAAGTTTGTGCACCCAGAAATGCGCCCTCTGCATAAGAAGCTGATCGATCAGTTCCAGATGATGCGGGCCAGTCTCTACCATGTAAGCTGTTGCCTGCCCTGCCTCTGCTGCAGTAGAACCAGGTGTCACTCCCTCCAGACCTGAGCAACAAGCAGAAGGAAAATGGGCGGGGGTGGAGGGTGAAGGGAAAGCTGTCTCCACCACAGAGGTGGGTATTTTATCTAGAAGGCTGCCCAGGAGCCCCTCATTCACTCCCTCCCTAAGGAGAAGTCAGACTCAAGGGCAAAGAACATTTTTTCAAGGTACTGTGCCGGTGAAGAGAGGTTTTCATATGAGAAGGAAAAGAGCTAAAGTATATGGTCCACATGTAGAGATCTTTTTGGAGATATTTTTCATCCCAAGACCCTGAAGAGGTAAGGCATAGCCTAAGCCAGCCCCCTCTCCCCAACTCCCTCCTCCCCTCTCCCTCTCTTTCTT